GGTCAACTTCGTCTCAACAAAGGGCGCATCTGTTCCATTGCCACGGCCCAGACTTGTGGGGACAAGCGTCACAAGCGTTTCGCCTTTGCAATTTGTGCTCATTTGACCTCCAACCGGCAGCAGGTAGCTTCCATCACTGGCATCTGTCCAGGGCCGGCCACTCGGCAACGGGCCATTTTCTTTGCCATGAAACAGTTGGCTCTGCATGTCATTGAGAAAACTCCGGTTGCCTTGTATGATGGGCGAGCGTGGACGAACTGGAAACCCCATGTGGCCTTCGAGACCTTCCCTGACCTTTTCACTGGCTTGGAGTTTGAAGATTTTGATCATGTCTGGCCACTCTTGTTCTCCAAGAAGGAACTGGAGCAGAATGAGATGCGACGCATCACGCAGGCTGACACTCAGAAGTTGGCTGACCGGACTGGTAAACTCTTTGAACCCACAGAGATTTTGGATCTTCAGTCTCATGTCGATGATGGTGCCCATGCCATCTTGCTCAGTGCTGGGGGGCGGATGAGTATCTTGATCAAGGACAAATCTCACTTCATCCACCGCAAGGAGGAACAAATTCAGCACAAGATCCCGCTCATCCAGCAAAAACGAGAAATCCTCACGGATCTCCTGGGCAAGGAGTCCAAGGCTGGTCATCAGTGGGAGGCTTTCAGAAGTGGCATTCAGTGCAAGGTTTGCCGGCTCCGGCTTCACAGCAAAAGCTTGCTGTCTGAATTGAAGGAGGTTGAGGACAAACCATGCCTACAGGAGCCCAAGCCAGCTCCTGTCAAGCAGACACGCATGGAGATGATCCATGCCTTAGTGGCATCTCAGCAGGAACCTCAGAAGGGCGTGCACCACTTGCAGCTGGATCGAGCGTACTTGCGCTGCACAGTCTGCAAAAGCTACATCTTAGCCAGGTGCAATGAGGAAGCCTTCACACGATTTGTGGGCGAGCCTTGTTACTGTGGCCCTCTTGAACCACGTCTTTGGCAAGGTCACGAATCTCATACCGTCGAACGACGCGGCAGCACCATCGAGTGCACCAGGTGCAAGGCACGATCTAAGATCACCAATGGGGAGGTGACTCTCACATCTCGTCTTCGAGCCAGGTGCGTGTACATGAAGCACCGTGACATCCGACAAATGTTTGGATGAGTTTGCAGACACCAAAAAGGCGTGCAAAAAAAACATATATATAACTGTGTATATGTATATACCCATATTGGGAGTGTCAGTGTTGCCTGAGTATATAGAATTACGTTATTATACCGTATATGCCATGTTACTGTATTCCGTGTCCTTTCTTGTAGTCCAGAATGACTTTCGTCACCTTGCACTCTTCTCCAATTGCTTGGCCCTTAGGAGAGCGGGCCAGGGGCCTCAAAGAGCTGAACATGGGGCAAAACGGCCAGGAGAAAGGGGAAAAACGCTGAACGTCAGAGAAGCAGGTTGAAGAGACTTCCAGAGAAGCGGCTTCACGTCTTTAGAGACCTTCTTGAGAGTTTGCCCCCCGCACCAGGGTTTCCGCACCAATTTTGGTTCCACGCTGTTCTTAGCAACTTCGGAGTGGAACCTGTGGTCCCAAAAACATCCTGTGCGCAAAAGGTTGAGCAGCAACTCATGGTTTACTCCTTTGCATGTGGCCTACCCATGATCGTTTTTCAAGACAGGTCTTCGGACAGACTATGTTGATCAATGCCAGAGAAGGCCCCCTCGGCCCCTCCTCAAACTCTTTGGGAATTTGTCCAAGCCCATCCCAACGGCATCCAATCAAGCTTTTTTGGGGGCTGCTCTGAACTTTCCTTGGCCAGGCTTACAAAATGCAGGCCTGTCAGTAGTTTCTACTTGGCAGTAGAGTTCGATTTGCACAGATTGAGCTCCCAGGCTTCAGCGCTGAACATGGGGAGGGTGGCAACTCCGTGGATCAGTGCAGGGCAGGCGCGGTGAAGATGCGGTTGGTGTGTGGAGCCGCGCTCCGCGCACGTAGTGCATCGTAGTGCCGTGTCTTTTGCTTGAGGTTCCTCAGATTTTTTGGGGTATACTCAGTAGATCTCAGTAGTAGGTTGCATGACTTCAGCCTCCTGCGGCCTACCACGAAACATTGCCTTAGAATCACTACAGCTTAGCTGACGTTTCATTATTTGGGCAAGTGGAGTTGTTGGAGATACAAAACAGCAACCCGCGATGGGGATGACTTATTGTGTGCAACCACCAAACAAGCTCGGTTCAGAAACCAGCTTACGTATTCGAACATCGTGAGATCTGAGATCCCGTCCTTCTCACCAGTGCAAGCCATCTGCTGCAGACCCATCATGTCACAAAACCGCATCGAATCATGCCGGGGCTTTGCAGAATTTGGCGCTGCCTGGTGAGCTACAGCCGGAGGCGTTGGGTGACAATTGCAGCTGCTGCTTTGCACCGGGCGGTGACGGTGTACGTTGTTGGAATTTGTGGTTTTGGTTCCTAGTTTCGTTCAGATATACTGTATGTATATATTATATATAGAGATAGAGAGAGAGGGAGAGAGAGAGATGTCGGCGGCCCCCGGGGTCAACACTGCAGCAAGAGATGGATTGCAAAGGATTGTTGAAGTCAAGTTCTTCGAGCTGTTGAGCGGTGCGTTTGTTTACGACAGCAATCTGGCTGTAACATGCTGTCACCTTCCAGGACATGGTGGAGCCTGTGCTGGAGGAGCCTGAGATGTAGGCCGCGTAGTGCAGCCCTGCTTGTGGAGGTGGCTTCCAAGGATACAGACACAGACATCCTGCAAAATTCCTAACACTCCCTCATATACTGATTGATGGTTGTGGCATACTGTGACTTGTGACCAGACTTTTCCGATCTGACATGGTCAATTGCTGTCAATTGTGGCATGTTTTTCCATCTTCCATTTGGTGGCTCAGCTAATTGTTTCCAAGAATCTCCACAGGCCAAGATTTGGCCCCGCCGTGTGGAAATTTAACATGGTGGGGGCAGAATTGCCCCAATCTGTCATGGTCCAACGGGCCTGAGCTGTATGTGAGTGCATAGGGCATAGAGTAGCAATGGGTAGCATATCCAGGTCGCGCCCAATTCTGGTAGCAGAAACACACATGCCTAGGACACTTGGAATCTTTCTGGGCACGTCTTTCAGTCTCTCATAGTGGCAGAAGGGGCCTGGCTGAGCCTTCAGAGCGCAGCCACCAATCTTGCGAACTTCTAGAATCTAGGACTGCCTAGTGGAAGCCCAAGACCGAGGGATCCGGTCCAGGGAGGGCATCTTCTCCCTTGGCTCTGTCGGACTGGCTCTGTTGGTTGGGGTCCATCCTTGGCATGAATTCAGAGGTGCGACATACGACGGAGCCGCATTCCTTTGCGTAGTACAATGCAAGAGCCCTTGCTCCAAAGATACGCATTAAACCATGTTAAACGGTATTGTATAAACACATTAAACAGATCCAATTAAAACAGCTTTTCCAAGTCACATCAAGTCACATGAGTATCATGAGTGCTGGATGTCTTTCGACTGGGTTGGCGCAGTTTGGCATGAACCACGATCTCGGTGGGTCAATGATAGTCAGTAAGGCACCTTGCTACTAGTGGCTTCTTGTTACTAGTAGTAATGGCCTCCAACCTAATAGCGATGGTCTCCAACCTAGTAGCTTCTTGTTACTAGTAGTAATGCCCTTGTTACATCTTGTTACTAGTAGCGATGCACTTGTTACTAGTAACTTCTTGGTCAGCGATCTGGATATTTTTGGACTCTCCCTGCACCAAGCTTTAGTGATCCGAGCGCCGTAGAGATTGCCCAAAAACTGGCTTGCAGAACCATGTGAACCTGGAAAAGGTCTTTTTCTCCAAACATTGTGCCATGGTTTTAGGCACGGCATAGCTCGCGGAAGCTGCTAAGCTGCAAATTGTTGTGGCACCACGCCTAAGTTGCAAGGACCTTAATAGGCACGTGGCACGGCTGCTCAGCAAACAGGACCTGCAAACCCACCACCAGACGCAACGTGAGGACATGCCCAGTTCGCAGGTCTTTCACACCCGTCACACCTTGGGGTTTTGGAATGGCCTCCTTTTTTTGAAAGGCTCTGGCTCTGACTCGTTCACCTCGCCGGACGTCCCAATGGTCCTCCCGGAGGAGGGAACGATGCAACGCCTCAGTTTGAAACTGGGTGTGAGCTTGGCTGGTGGAGGGGTGCGGCGTTTGTGATCTCCAACATCGGATACCGGATACCTGCTATTGATCTCCAACATTGTTGCATATTGCCCGCTCAGGCACTACAAAGATCTTGACAATTAAAGTTTCGCCTGATCCATTCAAGAGCTCTTCTGAAGATGCTCAAACTCTAGAAAACCTCCTTGATTCCTTGATCACCCCAGGCGCATCACTCGAGCAATGCCCAGCTATATCTCTTAGACTCTGACCCTCTTTGGCATTTCCAGTTCAAAGGACAGGAGTGCCAGCTTCAGTTTGGTTGAAAAAGATGCTCATTGGACACAACTTCATGTGTCACGGAAGGCGAGATGTGTGTTCAACATGTTCGAGGAATGATCAATCATGTTGGATTTGTGCGTCTCAAATGGCTGATTTGTTGCACCTCTCAAGCACAAGAGCCAAGGGGCCAATTGATCGAGCTATGCCAGTTCACGGATTAATAACACCATTGTGATTTATGGGTTTGATGAACCCCCCTGACAGCATCCGCCTTGCATCGCTGTGTCAACCAACTGGTTCTCGGCCCGCAGCATCAGTTCGCTTTGGAAGCATCATAACCCACAACTAATTGACCAAGATAATTAGTGTTACCTTTGAGCGGGAGGTTATTGATATCACTTAGGAATGAGCATCCATACCAATTTGTGACACCGTGCCGCTGAATCACTCGTTCCTCCCACCCAAGACGGGCCTCGTCGGAAAGACGTAGATGTGGGGAAGGCAGTCTCAATCGCATGATGTCCAAACCTCCGAACTCTCAGCATGTGATCATTTGGAATCAGCTGTATCCAGGCCTGGATGTTCATTTCATCCCCACTCCCGAACAATAGCCTCCCCGCCTCGAAAAACCGATGCACGGCAGTGACCTTGACCTCGCTGGTGCAGTGAGATGGACGCAGGCACAGGGAGCGAAACTCCTGGGGTGACTCTGAGTGCGAGGACAGGTTCTTCCCTGTAGATTCGTATGAAGCAGAACAATGCGGAACATCTATATTGCATTCTATTAGAGGCTAGGAAGGGATGCACGCTTTTTTTTCGAACATACATACCATACAACATAGCATTGTTGGATTCTTGGGTTGTTGGGTGGTGAAAGAAACAATCTAATCTACCTGTACTTGCTCTCTGGGCGCCAGGCCAACCATAAGACCGACAAGGATGGTGGCTCGTCTTGTTGATCAGGGTTGGTACACACTGTGCATGAATCTGGTGAAACCAAGGCATTGAGAAACTGAGTGCTGATGTATGACACATGGAGCGTGCTGATAGTCGCCGTATGGTGGTCTCAATCTCTCCTTTGAATCATTGGGTCTTGCACGGTTTTGCCGCTTTTGGTTGCATTTTTTGCGGTTATGTCTCCTGAAAATGCGAGCTGCCTTCAAATTCTGTGCGCATCTTTAAGTAGAGCTGGTTGATAATTGACAATTTAAGTTGTCCATGTTTGTTGTGCTAGCTTCTAGCAGTTTAAAGGCGGCGCACAAGAGAATTTGGTAAATCACGTAGGAAAAAAGACGCTAGGTTTGCGCTAGGGATTTCTGGGTTGTCGCTTTGACTGGTGCAGTCAATGAACTGAATGTTTGCGGGTTCGTTGTTTCAATAGATGCTTTGGTGTCTCTTGATTTTGTCTTGTAGCTATCCTGCCTGTGCCTTGTGGTGCTTGTTTGCGATGTGCTGTGGGTGCTTGAGACACTGCGCTAGCCGCTAGCAGGGATTACGCAAAATGGCCTCTTAGTACACAGGTGCCTGCGTCTTGCGTAACTGCGTAACATATGCCAGGTAGCACACATGCTTAGATATGCCTAGGCTTAGATCTGAGAAGAACTTGTTCTTGCTTTTACGGACGTTTTGCTGTAAGTTCTTGTAAAGATATCGTTAGTAGTAGATGGTAGCAACTCAGCCGGCACAGTTACTTAGGAATCCTAATGTTAGGATGAGTTACGCTAGCGCTTTGTGTGAGACTTGTTGCATTTTTCACCAGAGATTCCTTCGCAGCACTCAGTCTACAAGCTTTCTGTCATCAATCTTTCTGAAAGGGCACGAGAGGTGGATTGCCTAAGGCCGTGAATGGGAACAGTGGGCAACTGCGAATGGCGTGGGGCCAATGCGAGATCCAGCGAGGTGCCGAAGGGCTCGGATGGGGGGGCAGACAGGTGCATCGGTTTTCACCTTGATGCTTTTGATCCATCCAAACCTGCCCGCAGTCGAATTATCATCCTCGGATCTACCCGTCGTGGGATACGTCAGGCATTCTGCGGAGACCCTCCGGCGCTTCTTGGAAGATGTGAAGGATCTGGTTGGGCACGGTTTGGAGCGTGAGTGGCCGCAAACGCGCGGGGCTTCAAAGACCCCATCGCAGATACAAAATGGTATCGTGATTGATGTTGATTTAGGAATTTGCGAAGAGAACTGTCAGTGCAAGCAATCATTGATTTCTGCTCCCCATTCTTGAACAAGCGCTTTCACATTGGAGCAGTCCAATGGAAACGTTTGCCTCGAAGAAAAGCAAGTCCCTTGTCGACTCGATTTTTGTCTCCGTAGCCTGTCGGTCATCGCTTCGGACATGACATCAAGAGTTTCCGCCGACCAGGAGGGGTTGTCTGACCAAGTGCTGGACACCGCGCGGAAGAGAGATCAGGCCGGCAGGGGACGGCAGGGAGCTGAGTCAGGCACCCCAGCGGTTTCACAGAGTCTCAGAGTCATGATGCTCAATGGGCAAATCCTTACAGCTTACCAGATGTTTTGAAAGCGAATGCCCTGTCCCAGTCTGGAAGAGACGGAGTATGGCTGAAAGTTATAGGCCCAGGCCCAGATATTCATTCTGGAATTTCCATAGAAATTCCATCCTCAGGAACATGCCGCCATGCTCCCGTTCCCGGACACATCTCGAAATTTCATTGTGTTGATGAAACATGGTGTGCCTGTGGCATTCTCAGGTAGGATGAGGAACACAGTCTTGGCGACGCGGTTCCTGGTGAATTGGAGCATCTTCAAGCAAAGGATGGGTTACCAGATGAACCCAATAAGTTCATCCAGAAATCCAACAAACACCCCGTGGATGGTCAGGCGCTGCAGCAGCTGGAGTCGACCTTAGGCGGCCGAAGTTGTAGGTTTTTCTCCGCTCGTGAGCTGGTTGTGTTTAACGTTTGGTCTCTAGAACATGCTTGAAGTATGACCACACGGTTCGAATGCAGCTACGCACCCATTCATTCGGACGGGCCGGAAGAGGACAAACATACAAAAACACTTGAATCTATATATGAAATATAGAACACACACACACATACATGAGGACTAGGTGGCAGTTGGAATCTAGCCATGGAATCTAGCATGGCTGTTGCTGAAGTGAGAGTTCGAGTGGCCGTTGCCAGACATGTGATGCGGCGTGCGGGTTGGAGCGTGCAGGTGATTCACCCAAAGAGAAGAGCTTGATTCGGCTGCTGAAGCTCACCCGCGACCACATCAACTTTTCCATCTCCTACGGGTGCCGTGGTCTGGTTTGATCGGCTTTTGACCACCAGAAGGCCCAGAAGGGCCAGGGTGTCAAGATTCCTGGAGTTTGTTATTTCAGATTGTTTGAGAGCATTTTGCGGGGCACGTTGAATCTTGTGATCTTTTGGGCTCCTCAAGGCCAAACCTCATCCAAACCTCGCAGGGCATTTTATGAATGAGGCTGACCGAACCTTGGAATCTTGCACCAAGTTCTGTTGACTTAGAGCCTCCTAAAACCTTGAATTTTGCATCAACAGGGCTGACGTCCCTCTTCAAGATTTGATGCTGGCTCCCAAGGTGCCTATGCTTAGATGCGTCGAAGCCTACGCGATTGAAGCGAAAGGCGCCTCATCCTCCGGCGTGAAGAAACAATCATCCGGCAGTCTAGAAGACAAGTGATGGATTGTGGAGGTAAGGCTAGGGGGTTCTCGGTGTCGTTCCAGACCTCAGTAGCATTTTTGGGTTCAATCAGAAGCCAGGCAACAATTGATGAAGCAAAGAAGATGAAGCGAAGAAAGGAAGTATATAAGTAAAAAAGGGAGAACGGGAGGGAGGTTGGGAGGGAGGGAGGTACACTCAATGAGAAAAGCAAAAGAAGCACATCTCCCAGAATTTGCCAGAGTTCGGGCTGGCCAAAAGACGCTGGTGGGCCGCAAAAATTATCTGGCCTTTCAGCAGGTTTTCCCCGTTCACGTCACTGGCCAGCTTCCGTGTTCGATTAGGGTTCTGGACACGTTCACTAGTCATCTCTTCCTGAGGTCGAGGCGCCTGCAAACGTGGAGGATCTTTTGCTGGCGGTGGATTGTGTCATAGATTATGCTCAGAGGATTTGTACTTTTCCACGTGACGGGTGCTGCGGCGGGAGCTTTTCTATGGTTTTCCGGAGGTTCCTTCGGTATCCTTGATCTCTTCCTCCAAATTCTCAAAACAAATTCCGAAAGTCCAGAAGCACATGCCTCAAGTCGTCTCAGAAGTCTGTAGCAAAGTTTAAACTACCTCTGCCTATGACGCATTTTGATAGGCACACACACACATGCCGCCCGTTTAAATATATGTACTGTATATATTTATATATGTAATTATATGTATGTATGTATAAACCAATTCAATTTGTTCTTTGTCTTTGTGTTTTCCATCATGCTGTCAATTTAGATGACTTTTGATGCTGAGGCGAAATGGTGGAGACCGAGGAGGATGACAACACCTTGGCACAGGTTTGTGCTTGCAATGCCGCTGGGGAAGTGCTGATGAATCGGCAACCCGGCGGGTCGTCAGAGACTAGAGGGATCTGGAGAGATGTGGCCAGCACAGACGGTTGGGGAGATTTCGGAAAGATGGACAGATGAGGCAGATGTGGAAATAGGTGCTGCGAAGATCTGAGAAGCATGTTCGATGGCTGGCAGGTTCCAGTTAGGGAAACCTGGGTTGATGCAGTCAGTGCCGCTTCGCAACCTAGTCGCGACCCGATGAAGGTTTTCCTGGGATATATATATATATATGTATGTTCAAACTGCTCCACCATTTCCATTCATTTCCCAACTCCAACTAATCCTTTCCCACATTGAAATGTGTCTGTCTCAATCAATGATAGACCTCGCAACGATCAGACCTCCATACAGCAACATCCTCTAGGCACCTTCAGCTTGGTAGGATCAAAGACCTGTCAAAGACCCACACCGAGACTGCCATCGAATCCCTTCGCCGAGGCTGGTGAAGCCGGAGGGCACGATCACCGACTTCCGGACGGCGATCACCGGAATCGAAGCCAAGGACTTGGAAAACTTAGACTACAGCCTCCACGATGCGCAGGCGCAAATTCGGGTTTTGGGGTCGGAACTGGGGCTGGCTAGATTGGGGGGCCGATTCTGAGGAAACGCATGGACGCACATGGATGGTTGACATTCAAAATGGTTGGCGGTTTGATTGTGGGTGATAGTCATGAACAAAAGACGATTCAGAAACTACATAGTCACAGTCGCTAGGGAGCTGAGAAGTCAGTGGGAGTATGAGGGGCACATGGTAGCAACAGGGAACTCGATCGGACTCGTGTTCTGTGGCATGACACCAAGAATTCATCCTGGAGCAGCTGCATTATTTTTGAAGGGCAGCATATGGGAGCATTGTCGATTGGCCAGAAGCTGAGGTGGCTGTTAAGGGACCTTGCATGTGTTTCCTTTGCAACCCTAGTAGTGGGTGTAACATTTAAACACATTTAAACACCACATAACTGTGCATGTTTATATATATATATATGTATGTACACATGCACATGTATTGAAGTAGCCAAAGAAAGCTTCCACTACAAAGTGATTTGACATATCATCCCAAGCAGTTCCAGTCGACTCGAGGCCGAGCTCCGGCGCCTGATTGGCCCACAGACGGTGCCGGATCTTGGACGAGGAGCCAACTCCACGGGCCTTCGTAGGGTTTGAAGGGCCATTTTTGCGGTTGCTTTTGTGGTATTGCAAAAATTTTCACTGAAGGAATCTCTATTGGATTTTGGACCTTTTGGAGTTGGGTGGTGAGACGTTTGAGTCTGGAAGAGTTTCTCAAATGTGGTCCTGACTGGCAGATGTCGGAGTGTACATTTTCTCTGACAGCTTTAGATGATGGTATCATAGTAAGAAGCTGCAGCCATAGCTCATGAAAACCCAGGTCCAACGAACGACCCTGGGACCTGTCATGAGTCAGCTATCATGAGCATCACAAGACGACTGGTAGGACATCCCAGCAATACAACAGACATCAACAGACACTACAGCAAGACTGGAGGCATTTTGTGTTTGATCCTCCTGTCCCTTAGTGTGTCCAAGGTGCTCGTGGGACACACACTGCATCGAGATTTATCTGCCATGCGAATGGATGCACTGCTGATCTTGGACATTAGCTTGCTGTCGCTTGGGAAGAAGCATGTGTCACATATGCATTGCAGTTTATTGTCATGCAAAACCACCAATGGTATTGGCCAGAGGCAACCAGCACCGAAAGAGAGGGAGAGAGATGCCAGGTACGGCATCCATGGCCAACCAAAGAGGCGGCCGGCTCTTGCGCATTTGGTGAAGCAAGTTTTGCGGCGCGATGATTTCAGAGCGGCAAACAGCACCGAAGTCCATGATTGCGTGCAAGATGTGCTGATGACCATGGAAGTTGTAACTTGTCATGATGCCGCCTCAGCGTCAGGGGGAAATGACACTATGAACGCTGCCTTGGAGATGTTTATCCGAGGTCGTGTCACTAATGCCATGGATTTCTAGGTTGTTATTCTTCTGCAACAGCTCCAATTGTTTTGTGGACCAGTGTGGCTCGGTTTTTGAGGCACTTCACAGGCTGCGCAACGTGGGTAACTATGGCAAGGAAGTGCCAGTGACGGTTTGGGTGGCAGCCCCGTGGCTAGGCTTCACGAGGTACGTACCAAACGGCATGGCACTTGTCAGCACTAACACACGTAACTGTTCGTTTTTCAGTGTGCACATATGAGCAGCCGTCAAAGCATGGCATGTAGTGCAGAAGATGTGAGCCACCTTCAATCTTGAGAATCTATGTGAGGTGGGGTCAAAATAAGTGTAGACTACTTTAGTCAGGAGAGGTCGATGTGAATGGCTTAGGGTGAGGATGTATTGGAAACCGATAAGGTCCCCCAAAACCGATAACCTATGTATGATGGTATTTATTATCATTTTTATTTTTGACAGATCCCTGCGGTACCTGTTGCATGTCAAATGAAAGCCCCACTGACAGTACCCTAGTGGGTGGCTTCAGCCATATGATATGGAATCAATATTTTTGTTGCTGTGTTGTTCTTTTTCTAATCTGCAGCCTTTCATTGAAAAATCCGGATTCTATGTGGCCACTACGCCGATAACGAAACCGATAACTCGCCGATAACCGTTTGGATATGTTTTCAGCTTTCATAGCCACTTGCCCAGAGCCTGCTGACGAGACAGCTAAATTCCCTATCGAAGACATTGGTCTAGCCTTTCTTCTTGAGAACTTACGTGTTAGTATTTTACATCCCAGCAAACAGAAGGCCGATAAAGATTAAGATAGAGATAGGTACGCCAAATTTCGCAAACCCACTCGAAATTGCAATGCTTTTGTCCGCCGCTGACAAGCGAGCTGTGAACAAGCTCGTCATCCATTGCTTCTGATTTCAGCGAGTAGGTAGCTCCGCTTCATGCATCCACAATGTAAATGCGAATGCCAAAAGCATCTGATTGAACAAAAAGCTGAAAACCGATAAGGTCTCCCCCAAAAACGATAACGATAAAAAACATCCTTAGCATAAATAATTGATTTTGACCGTGGCTCATGTGTAAAACCCAAGGAAGGGATGGCCTTCCCCCAAAAGGGATGCCGTAATTACCAGAACGTGAAGGATGAACATTGTCCAAGTGTTTGACATGTGTCTTTCCACGTTCAGCTTCTTGATTTGGAAGCCCAAGTGATGCCCTCGATCATGCCAGTTCACCACTTGCCCAATTGAACACCAACAAAGATGTTGCAGTAGCAGCTTGGTGAATGCTCCTAGCTGCCTGCAATGTTCTTATGGTGTCGGCTGAACTTTGCTGGTACTGTTGCCTTCGGCTCGAGTGAACTGTTTTGTGTGTCTTCGTTGAGTGCTCATACATACATGGTTGAAACCTGCCTTAACTAACTACATACAAGAAAACAATGCCTCCCCTCCAAACTGAAGTTTAAAGTTGTCCAACACCGGGGGAAGCAACGGCTCCCCAAAATCTATGTCAATGTGATGGATTGTAATGGCATGAGATTGAACAAGGAGTTTTTGACAGCTGTGCGTAGTATGTAATATTCCCAGTTATGCACCCCCCCATGATCTCGAAATATGGTATGGTGTAGATGTATACATACTATTACTATTATAGTTACCAGTGGCAAGCAACAAAAAGCAGTCAATCACTTAGGAGGGGTCTTCTTGGAGGTCACCAATTTGCAACCCAGCGTCCTGACCCATGTCACCCAGGCCCGCTGTAGAGACGGAGCTGGCAGCCCGGAAGCTTCTCTGAACATGGCTCAAATTGCACCAAGTGGAACATTGTTGGTATGGCAACTTTCCAGATTCAACTGTTTTGGCAGTGAACGGAGGTCCTTGGTCAAGGTCCTTGGTTTCATTTCCGCGAAGCGGACGTGCGGGTGGTTTAGTAGGAATTGAGATCTTGAGAAGTCACATTGGGCTTGGAACTTGGGCGAGGTGGCTACGACCTACAGATTTTGAGCCTTCTTTCTCTCGGCAGGGAGTTGACTGCTTGTGATGAGGTAAGCCGCAGGTGAGTCAAGATGCCAGATGATTCCATCAATTTGGATAACTTCACACTTCGTTACAGCCTCACAGATGGTATGAACCAAGCAGGTTGTGTTCTCGGCCAAGCAGTTGCTGAAACCAGGAAGCTCTATGTGCACCGTATCCCGCAACGGGACGATGCCTTCCCGGCCTTGGCCTCACTCTTCGCTGGGCTTCCACGCGAGTTGTCCGTTGATGCTTGGACAGTGGGGTGTGTGAATTACACCTTTTGTTTCTAGTATACATATATATATATATTATGTATGTTCCACACATTTTGGCCGCTGCAAATTCACTGTTTCATGCAATGGTTTTCACTCAGAAGAGCAGCCATGGCCGTCATAGCCGCAACATCTCTGTCCTTGATCGAATGACATGTCATTACCGGCTATCAAACCCACTGGTCCTCGTTGTCAGCACATCAAGTTTTTTATTGCATTCTTTTTTGGTTGTCAAGTTGTTTTGGTTATCATGGTTGTCATGGCCACACGTTTGTCGTTAGTTGTTTTATGATGTTACGAAAGCCAGCCGATAGGCTTGGTCGCGTGGATGGCACTGGAAAAAGGTTCAATTGTGCATCATCAGCATCACAAAGTGGCCAGGATACCATTCAAGTGGACAGCAGCCTGTCTAGTTGTGTCTATGGTTTTTCCCCACAAAAGATGTAAAGACGGCAACCTGCAAGCAGGAGTGTTACCGTATAAAGACTTCAATCGAGACGTCTCGTACCAGCAGCAGTGAACGCGTAGAGCACCATCTAAGCGGTTCAAGAGAGAGCGTGCCACCTTCTGGGATCTAGCCGGGTCTCCCCAAACAGCTGTAAAGCAAATACGTTGAAAGACCCCGGCTGGCCTTCGTCTCCTCCCTTCTCAGGCTTTGCAAGTTCCTGGAGTGCACGCCCGAAACGGGGGTCTGATGGCTTTTTGCCAAAACATAAAGTTGCCGAAAGCAGTGTCAAACACATCCAAAGACAGGTTGAGTGCGAACTGAATGCGGGGTTTGTACAGGTCGGGACTGGCAAAGCCGAGCCGGGTTCCGGCACAAACCTGGGCAATTGTTGTTTCAACTAAGATGCCATTGGTTTCAACTTAGGCGTTGCAAAAATCTGCAAGGTTTGTTTGTATACTGTATACTCGCCTCCTTGTCAGCACACCATCTTCATGATTGTTTCCCGGCGCTCGCTGCAATTGGACCATCATACATCACATGTCAAGCATCGTGCAGGGAGGGCAGAGGAACATGGAGGTGCCACACAGATTTTGTTGCTTCTGCAAGGGTGGGTTCGACGGTACCGTTCTGACGCTGAGGAAGGTCTTCAGATGGTGACGACGGCCATGGGCAACCAGAAACTGAAGGGTGCAGAGGTGTCATTTCTATCGAAGGACACCGGTCTTGGCTTGAAAAGATGGGCGGCGTTCGTCAAAAATTGCTTCCCAGAATCAGAGACAGTGCTATTGCTCGGGAGGTTTTGGATAGCAGCTAGCATCCCAGAGAGGGCCGCTACGCATGTTCGCCCAAAATCCAAGTTTCGGAGCTCCATGGAAAAAGTTGTGTTGCACCCTGGCCAACATTTGTCCCACAACGCTCGTCACTTTTTAAGCAGGCCCTTTCCTTAGTAACCTGTTAGTAAACGAGGCTGCCCACCATATGCGGTGGGAATCGCAATGAGCAAAGAACAAAAATCACATGCAAAGAACCATGGCACTAAGTGAGACATGCGGAACATGTCCACCGTAGGTGGTGGGGGGCAACCTGATGTGAATGTAGCCCAGCTTTGCATTGGCTGCCGCATTTGTCAACTGGTGGTTCAGGATTTGGCCGAGCAGGCATTTCTGGCGCTGCCCGCGGAGAGCGTGGAGATTGACCAGGCCGAAATGGTGTTGGGGCACTTCTATTTAAAGATCTGATATGTTTGTTTCCTCCAGACCAATTTTTTGAAAATAGATGTGGATGTTTTTCGGATGGTTTTTGGGGACATTTGCTAGGACTTCCATGTTGAGAATCCATGCAGATCCCGGCTCGGCTACATCACAGCGCTTGCATTGTTGGTGGGTTCGGTTGGGGGTCCCACCCGATGCGCAGCCCGATGCCAAGGCTCAGAGGCCACAGAAGTTGGTGCGCATCCACTTTCCGGAGCGCACGGCGCTGGTTTGCGTGCGCCCGGTCTTGGCAGGCTTGGCATTAAATGGCCATTGAAGCCATTGGCTGTGGGCCGTTCATTTGCAGAACTCAGAGAGAGCCTATATACCCTTCATCCACCATCTTGCAAGTGAGTGTAAGTCGTGCTACAGTGTCATTATTCGACTCCACTCACCCTCAATCCTCCATGAAGCTTTACGAAAACGATCCCCAAAGCATCATTAACCATGGCGACAATGTTGGCCACATCACCACAACCAGACCATACACCAAACATAAGACACGTTTGAAAGGGATTGCAGTAGACTGCTTTGGCCGGCGGACATTCTACTGGTGATTTGGCTGCCAGGCATTGGAAGAGCCTGTTTGGAGACTCCTACGCTGGTCAAAGAGGAGGCAGCACCACCAGAATCAGAAAGGACACCGGCGCCGCCAGAAGAGAAACCTACACCTGAAGCAAAACCAGCAGCGAAAGTGTGGCAGGGCAAGGCAGGGCAAGCTGATGTGCTCGAAAAACTGTATAATAACAAAAGAAGACTTGTTCGGCCTCGGTTTCACAGGACTGACGTCAGAGGAAGACCACGTGCTTGTGGCCAGAAGTCTTTGGCCTGGATTGGTAGGGACCCCATGGATCCCAAAATTTTGCCATGTGTTTTATGCCATTGATCTGATTTGATGTCAGGGCTGGCCGGGCTGGCGCAGAGCTGCGGAGGAGGCGTTGCGGGCAGCACCCGGGCAGGCCTTGTGGCTTGGTGGTGCGACACAACAACCGGGGGTGTCAAGTACTGGGCTCATGGGATCGAACGATGAGTTTGTGCAGTTGACTAGGGGTTTTAAATATATATATATATAATATAGGCTTGAGATCTGGGTTGATTGTTGTTTTCCTTATCGGCGCAGAAGGAATAGGAGGGTTCAATCATCTATAGTCTTAAGTCTATACGCTGGTCACTAGTCTAGAGGTCAACCTCATGATGCGGGACTCGCTCCTTCTAGATTAACTCGCTCTTACTGCTTTTGGCTGCCCTTGCTTCCAAAGCCTAAGGCACTGGATGAAGCTGGCCAGTGAGCTTGTGGAGAGACGACAGCAGCAAGTCTTCTGGGTTCCAATCTGGATGTGGGTGCTTTAAAGAGGGTAAGCAGGGGATGGCAGGCTGTGTGGAAAAACCTGTCTCAAGATGACGGAGCCCCCAACCGGTTCCCGGTTCATCGATTCTAGAAGAGAGTACAAGAAGCGCCTCCTCGCCACTTTGAGTCCACACGTTTGACAAGAGATCGTTGCTCTGATTTTCAGATGGACACGCTTTGATTTACAGAATCTCAGTGACCTTTGAGCGCTTTGAGGCTGGGGGATCTTCAAAGGAAGCCTCGGAGCCACTGGAGACCTTGCAGCTCTTGGCTTTAGCGGCCTTGCCCGAGGAGCATTGTGGGTCCGTGTAGGTCTCCAAACTGTCCCCGAGGCCGTGGTGAACGGCAAGTCGGTGAACAGCACTTTTGGGGGGTCAAATCCTTGGCTTTTCACGATGTTCTTTTGCATGGAAATCCATTGGAGGGAACAATATTCAGGCGTTGGTCTGCGGGGCCTGCTGGCCCCAATTGGATAGATCAATCACTCGAAATGGGAGATGTGCGCGAACACCACCAAGAGACCACAAGGTTATATAACTTTTTGCTTTGGAAACGGCCTGGCGTACTGTGTTGGAAGACAGGGGGATTTGATTGCCAGCGTTTCCGCGATATCTATCCAAAGAAGACACTCATTCCATCCATCCACAGGACCCAGCCATTCATAGAAGCACCTCGCTTTAAAAAACCGACCAACTTCGATCTGTCATGTCGTGTCCTGCTCGTTGGCGCTTGGACGGGGACGGGTGTTAGGAGTTCATCAGTGATGAGACTCCCTTGGTCCGCTTGCCTGGCTGAAGGTGGGTGCCGGAGCATCGAATGCGGGCAAAATGTGAGGGGCTAAGCCACAGACAATCACAGACAGCACAACAACGGATTCAAACACCTGGGGGTTTTGCTCAGAGGTTCCGGTCAATCAGTTAATCTGCCAGATTGCCAAGAGTATATAGTGGGTTCTTTTCATCCACTGGCCTGAAATGAACACACTGGAGGAAGCACACAGTGGAGACCGGAGAAAAGGAGCTTATATGCATATGTGAGGCCAAGACAGTGACTCAGACGGAATATGTTGCTTTGCATTTGGCCTGAAGAGATGGAGAGATCTCCATGATGACACCATGGCATGCTGATGATGTGGAATGCCTGGAAGGCTCCTACTACCTGAAGGCAATGCTTCGGAGCGTGCCCGCATTGTCGCCGGCCAATAGCTGTCCCATGTCTCATTCCTGCTGTTTGCGGGCATCGTGTTTTTGTTGCGTCGAAAAGTGGATGTGAGTGCATGTAGGCGCCCTGTCGAACAGCACAGGATTCGCTTACAGGCATTTTGTTGAAGAACAATTGGGGCTTGCACCACAAACAGCTGCGATGTTGTTTTTGAATGACAGACCCAGACCACGCAGCCACGACTTTGTGGCACAACCTGCGTCACCGTCACAAGGCTCAAGGCAGTGTCAAAAGATGGAGAACGCTATCGTCCGTACGAATTGAGTCAACGCACCTTGGACTAGCTCATCAGACTTGGATGGATTGGGTTTGTCCTATTACCTGTAACAGTCAGTAAACAAGTATCACTGTTTTTGAACAAGGCCTTTACTAACCATCATCATCCACTGGTAACCAGATATCGAATAGACCCAATGGATGAATTTGAATGGGGCACATTCCCACTGAAGCTTGAAGCGTTGGCGGCGATGGCAGTGCGCCAAGCCAGGCACCGCTTTGCAAAACATTCACAGATGCGGCTTTTTGGGTGTAGGTTGAAATTCGTGGAGTTCATTTGGCCAAGATCTTCCATGATCTAGAGAATGATCATGATCGCCATGCATTTTATTGCAATCCCTCAGGCTCAAGTCGTCTTGGGCGATGGTTCTCATAAACCTGATCTAATATGATATATAGCATGGGTGATGCCGAGCAGGCAACAAAACCGATGGGAACGTGCCTGCGGCTGCTGGCATGCCTTTGCACACAGACCCCGCAGGTCCCCCCGCAGGTCTGCATGGTTCGACTAGACTGACTAAAGGTGTTTGTTCTTAATCCATTCCATTCCGGGGAATTGAACATTTTCACTGGCAAGGCAAGGATGTCTCATGTTCCTTTCATTGACTCGTTGCATGCATCCGGGTAGACAATTGTATAATTTCTATGCCAATTTGTTCTCAACCTTTTCCTCCACGCTGAACGGTCCCTCACCTCGACACCCGTCATGGCATCCAAAGACGATGGCTTCGCGCGGGTGCACCTCCAGTTTCTGGATATGTTCATCGCTTCTGGCTTCAAAAGCTTGAGGCGGGGTGGACCAGTACAAATGACAAGTGAAACTATACAACTACAGTACCAAGAATACATGCACATTGGTCTTCCATCTTCCTCAAACACAACTCCGTCGGCCAAATGGAAGACCATCATCCACCCCATATGTTTCTATTCAGGAAGATGGAGGAGCTTCGTGGAACCTCAGAGGGCGGCCTGGTGGGCCTTGGGGAGAAGGCGAAACTCCTTTTGGGCGCTGCGGTGGCGGAGCCCGGGCGATGAGGGGGGACCATGGCCAAAGTCAATCAAGAAAAGCAAGGAACATCATTTAGCTTGAATGTTCGTAGTATATTGTCTTCTTGGGATTTGTCGGGGTGGTTCGAGAGAGCATGTTTGAAACTCATCGAGATGAAACACTGAATGGTGCTTGCACGGATCAGTTCAAATCTTCAAGTCCAAGGAGACTTCTTTGCTCAGTGCGCTCTACTGGATCACCTGTGCCTACACACTGCTTGGGCATGTGATCGAGCCCGAGATGCGTCCCCTTGGCGGACTCAAAGTGAGTGTTGGGAGTTTTTTGAAGTTCATGACCACCGCCAGGATTTTCCCCGTCCCGGGCCTCAAGGTCGCTCCGGAATTATATATCACCGGAGCATCAGCGGCTACACTTGGCCCACAGGCTCTAGCAACCTTGGGGGGTTTCACCCGCCAAGCTCCAACAGTTGATCAACAGTTCCAATACATACATACATACATACCATACCATACCATACCATACAATACAATACAATACAATACCATACATACAATACATGCATGCATGCATACACACCATTTTATACATACAATTATATACATATGTGCAGATGTATTGTATATTGACATGTGCCAAGACAGAGTTGAGTTGAGATGCGTGAACAATCACAAGGGTCCTCCGGGCCCCTCACCTAGTTCCGACACTGCCTCGTCCGACGCTGCTCTGTGCTGACCCGGCACCCAAAGGTCAACAAATTCTTGACTTTGCGGGAAGATGCCGCTGTCGAAGCACACCCGGGGCGTTCGCACCACATCCAGCGCATCAAGCAGACCTGCTGAACACAGTGAGTGCAGTGCAAGTGGCTGTTTCTCAGTGGCCAGCAGGTCATGGAATGGGTTTTCTGATGTTTTTGTCCAGCAACTTGAGGATACTTAAGGGATTTTCTCTATGTATATATATATATATCTATACGCCTACACGTCTTCGTCCTACATTTGAGTTAAAAACAACTGAGTCAAAGCTCCTTCCCAAAGGGGTTGAACATGGAGGCTCGGGCCTGAACAAAGTGCATTCTGGAAACTGTTCGGGGGTGTCAAGAAAGAAGCAGAAGAACGAGAGATATATAATCCAAATCCAAAGAACACCTGAGAGGCCTTTTATATGAACTGGATTTCCTAAGTGCGTTGCCTTTGGCCTTGCAGAGGTTCTGCTGGACAAGCCCGGAATTTTGGGCGACCTCTCAGAGGTCTCACACTACGTGTCTCGGGTCAAGTTAGCGAAAGTCCTTGGTCAGGATGAGATAGGACACAAACACCAGGGTGTTAGGGTGTTCCAGGTGGCTTAGTGTGCCAACACCAAACCATAACATCAATACTTTAATATGTTGTTTCTCCTTGGTTCACCTGGATTCGGACGGAAAATGGATGGTGGCCCAAGGATGGCGGGTGGGTGGTGTGGGTCGCTGTTGACATGTTCTTCAGCACCAGCATGGACCAACATCCGCATTTGTTGCAATTAGGCACGACCAATTCTTTTTGGGCTTCAAGCCTCGGACCGGTTTTCAGAATCAACCAGTGCACCATGTGCGACCATGTCCATCAATGGCTTGATTCACAAGTCTCTTTTCGAGACACCACAAGACTATTTCAAGCTCTTGCATTTGACACATATGTAATTCCTTCCTTTGAGGTTCGCTCGTTACAGCTACCAGATGGATCCTTCGCGAACCGCAGTGGCTCCAACGAGGGCGACTGCCGTTTCACCTTTGCGGCGCTGTGTGCGCTGAAGCTCTTAGCCAGACTCGAGAACAACGACCGCAAGGAATCTCTCGACACTCGGTGCTTGAAGCGGAGCGATGTGCCAAGCACCGTGCCGCGGTGTTTCGGCGTTTTGGAAGGTGCACAGAAGAATTCAGAACGGAGTGAGGATTGTGGTTTTGACTCAGCCGAAGACACAATCGTGTCGATCTTGTTTGATAGATAGTATTGTCCATGTATTGCCCATGTGGAGATTCTGGATCCTTTCCACCAAGGACTCGGTGTCAGCCTGGCTGTTGCGGTGTCAGAACCTGGACGGCGGGTTTGGGCAGCTTGGATCCCGGCTTTTTCCCAGGGGTGGAAGGCTGAGCACAGATAGCTCATCAGATAAACCAACGTCTCGCTTGAAACGACTGTTCTTGATTCTGTAGGGCTCTTCAGTCTCACAGGTCAAGATGTCACAAGAGTTCACAGGTGCCAGGCTAGCTCGGATTCATGGTGATAATCGTGTCAAAATTGTCGCGTTTGGCTGCCCATGCCTGCCCTACAGAAGTTCAGAGCAGTTTGTTTTTGCAATCCAAGTCAGTTACAACCGTGAATCCCTCTTGAAACATGCACTTTGTCAGAATTTGTCCGGGACATGCACTTTGACAGAATTTGCCCGGGAACACTGAGTAGAGATCATTGAATGGAGGCTGTCATTGCTCGTGAACATGAGCAGTTTGACAGTTCTCAACTCACAACTCAGAACCCCTGACACTCCTCCAAGCACAATGAGAGTTTGTCAACTGGGAGAGCTGAGAGCTGCGTTCAGGGTTTATCCGGACAGAACTGCGTCCAGAGCAATTGCAATGAACAACACCAAGTAAAGCTGGCGGAGGCCTCTCTCTATATGGAAACTCACGGAAACACTCGAAGATAACGATGACCAATGCACACAAAAATGAACAGCTGAGCTTTTGCAGGCACTCGTTTTGGGTCATTCTCACCTTAGGTGCCGCCCTGGGGAGTGTGAGTCACACGCGGGACACACCTTCTGCTGCTTGGCAGCCCTGAGCCTCATCTCACAGCTCCATCAGTTGAGCCACCGAGGCGTCGTGGGGAGTTATGAGATGTTAGCGTGGGGAGATGTTACAAGCAACTGATGTCATTTCACGAAGCGAATGGAATTGGCATGGCATACTGCGGCATGCCCCTGCTTTGCAATGCAGATTGCAATTGGAATGAAGGCCAAAGAAAAACACACTTTGTCACTCAGAGTGTGCAGACAAGGACGGCCTCAGCCGAGCAGATCGAAGTCCTTCGGTCCTTCCAGGATAGGCTGACTGGTGCTTAGTAGAGCATAAGCGAATGACCCCCTACTATAGATCCATTCCCTAATTCCTCACTAAGCACCAGTCAGATAGATAGCCGATGGTGGCCCTGCTCCGCCGCGGGTGCCACTGCCAGGCAGGGGTCGATTGATCCGCTGGCTCTCTGGGCGCCAGTGCGAATCAGGTGGCATGAATGGCCGTCCAGGTGCAGTCGGAGGGCCTTGCAGGGATGTGAGTATCAGTTTGTATATGCATATGATCACATACATGTAATTGTAATTTCTTGTGTATATATATATGTCGATCTGTGCCAACCGTGCCGCTTCGTCAGGGACTCTCAAGCCCTAGCGGGAAAAAGGTCCGCATGGAGTGCGGATGTGGGTCTGTGGGCTACCATAATTGGTAGCGGAGCCAGGTGAAAAGCGCCTGGCTCCCGGGTGAACTAGGTAGTTCATCGGAGCGCCGACCGTGCCGCGCGTTGGAAGCCATGGAAGCAGGAGCATCCATGCGGATGTTCAGTGGAGATGACTGCGACTACCGGGAGTATCGCAGGTGGAAGCAGTGGGCCCTCAACAAAATGAGGACCATGGACAAGCTTGGCGAGGAAGCAAGGGGATCGTTCATCTGGACCCTGCTGAGCGGTCGTGCACTCGAAGTGGTCGAGCATTTGAAGGAAGAGGACTACCAGAAGAAGGGTGGCGAACAGGCGATCTTCGATCTCCTCGATCGCCGATGGCCGGAGCTCGACCGGACTGACGAAATCGGCGAGAACATCGCTGATGTCTTCGCCTTGAAGGCGAAGGAAGGCGAGACCGTTCGCCAGTGGTGCGCACGATCCCGAGAGGTCTTCGACAAGTGCGCCCGTAAGACTGGAGTCAAGTTCCCCGAGGAGGCTCGTGGTTGGATCCTCCTCAACTGCTCGGGCATGTCCGAGGCCGATCGTGCTATCTGTCTGGCCCGCGCCCAAGGAGATCTCAAGTTCGATCAACTATCCCAGGCTATGAGGTCTTGCTTTCCGGACTATGTGATGGCCCGAAAGCGAACGACTGCCGCTCACCTGGTGGACGATGTGGAGTCAGCTCCTCCAGCAGCCGACATGGCTGGTGATGGATTTCAAGATGTTGAACTGTTCCTTGCCGAGCACGGCTATGAGAGGGACGCTGACGGCGACCTGCCTGATGAAGAGGGTCTTGAAGAAGAAGATGCTGCCGAGATTTTAGCAGCCACCTGGCGAGAGCGCCGGGCTGAGTTGAATCAGGTGCAAAAAGGCCGTCGGTTCACGCCGACTGATCGGCGTAACCCTCCTGGCCAATCCAAGGAGTTCCGACGTTCCTTCCGGGTGCAAGTTGAAGAGCTTAAGCAGCGAACCCGGTGCCGTCGTTGTGGCAAGATTGGACATTGGCAGCGGGAATGCAAGGCTCCAGCTGCTTCGAGTTCCACTACCACGACAAGCCACGCTGCCGGTTCTGTCCAATGCCTGGATGTCGATGCTCCCGAGCATTTCGTGTGTTCAGCAACGGTGGAACAGGAAGTTCTTTTGGTGAGCAGCCCCGGTTTCGCCATCCTCGACAGTGGATGTGGGAAGACAATCATTGGTGAAGACACCCTGGCTGCCTTTCGACAGATTTGGCTCAAACATAACATCCCAGCTCCACGTGAGCATGCTGAGGTGAACCGTTTCCGATTTGGGAACGGTGAGCAGGAAGTCAGTCAGAAGGTTGTGGAGATGCCCGTGTTTGTGGCCAATCGCCCCGGCTTGGTTCGAGCCGCTGTGGTTAAGGGAAAGGCACCGCTCCTTCTTTCCCGACCGGCCCTGAAGACACTCCAAGCCCAGATGAGCTTTGCCGACGACCGGCTGACACTGTTCTCCGATCACGTGGAGGTTCCGCTGGAAGTGAATGCTGCTGGGCAATATGCCGTGAACGTTTCGCAGTTTCCCTCGGATGCCCGAAGCCGTTTTCCAGCCGTGTCGGATGAGCCAGTGCCTGAAGCTGATCCACCATCCGTCGAATGCCACTCGGTTGCTTTTAACAAACCCATAGGTAAAAAGAGGGATTACTGGGAGTTTAGGCCTAGTGATAGACTAGTGATCAGGCATCATGTCAAGCCTCGAACTGCGATGTTCACACCAGCCAATACTCGATGTCCTGTCCCGATCACGAGCTTGCATGCCGATCGTGTCACAAAGGTAGATCACCTCACTCCGCAAGCCAGGGACTGCAGTGATTCGTGGACTGAGCCCGATCTAGCCCACAGACAGCTAGGATCTAGACCCTGGACGGGACAAACCATTTTCCGTCTTCGTCTTGATGCCGACATGCCGTCCGTGCCGTCCGTCGATCAGGAACAGATCCTTCTGGCCGAATGGACGGCCAAGCAGCATCGATGCTTGATGGCTCAGGTGCGAAGTAATCCCCAGGTCAGCAACCGACCATATGATGTGATTGAGGTGTTCTCGCCGCCCCGGTTCGCTCTCGAGGGAACGACTCGTGGTCTCCATGTCTTATCAGCTGATTTGTGCACAGGGTGGGATTTCCGTAGGAAGGCCGATCGTGAGCTCCTGAAGTCGATCGTTCGAGACACACCGCCCGAACTCCTAGTGGTTTGTCCACCGTGCACGTGGGCCGGAGGTTGGTGGCATCTCAATCGTCTTCGAATGGATTCAGCCGCTGTGACCACTCGTGAGGCCTGGACCACGTTGTTCATCCGTTTTTGCTGTGAGCTCACGCAAATCCAACAGCTCCACGGGAAGCGGTTTCTATTCGAGCATCCTCGAGACTCAGTTGCATGGTCCATGAAACCCATGATGGAACTTACCAAGCAAGCCTTCAAGGTGCATGTCGACATGTGTTGCTATGGTCTCCGCGTCCCAGGCGGCAGCCTGATTCGGAAAGCGACCGGCTTGCTAGTGTCTCACCAAGACATGTTGAGCCTTGGTAGGAAATGCCCCGGTCCGTCTCGTGAAGGCCATCGGACTCATCAGTGCATTGCAGGTCAATGGCCAAAGATTGGCTCCATTAGTAGACATGCTGCCAAATACACACCGGCCTTCGTGAAAGCTGTGCTTCGACTCGTGAAGGGACTCCCGACCGGGGAATGCCTGTGCGTTGGTGATAGCTCCTGGTCGGAATGCCTGGTCGCCCAAGCTCTCGAGGATCTCAGTGATGATAACGAGCACAAGATGCAGTTGAGCCTGCGTAAACTCCATAATAACTTAGGTCATCCGACAAATCAACAACTGTTGAGGATCCTGAAGCATGGGGGGGCCAGTGCGGCCGCACTGGAAGCTGCTCGTAGATTCACGTGTGATCACTGCGTGGCCCAGCAGGCCCCAAAGGCCGCCCTACCGGCGCAATCCCAACGAGTGGTTGAGTTCAATGCCGTCGTAGGGGTAGACATCAAGTACCTCCAAGGATGGGTAGGAAATCAGCGGATACCTTCCCTAAACATCATTGATTTTGCCAATTCTCTGCAGATTGTAGTTCCCCTGTTCAAGAAAGAAACGGCAGAAACCATTAAGCAAGCATTTTTGGAACGTTGGGTGTCATGGGCAGGGATGCCGTCCGAGATCGTATGCGATCCTGCCAGAGCCAACATTGCCGATGCTTTCTCAAGTGTCATGGAACAGGGCGGCGCCACTTTCAAGCTCACTGCGGCAGACGCCCACTGGCAATTAGGTAAGGTAGAAGTCCATGGGGGTTGGTTTGGCAAAATCCTATCCAAGTTGCTAGCCGAACATGTGCCATCCAATCAAGCTGAATGGACTGAATGTGTCAACGCATGTCATTGCAAGAATCAACTCATCCAGGTCTACGGCATGACTCCGTCGCAATTTGTTTTCGGCAAAAACCCCAGGGTACCTGAGAACTTGCTGGACGAACCCTTAGACGTAGTGCCGGCCACAGCTTCTCTTTATGAAGAGGCCGTTGCCCGACAGGTGGCCATCCGTCAGACAGCACGGAAGGCCGTGTTGGAACTGCAGGATAGCAAGGCTCTTCGTTTGGCCCTTGCCGCTCGACCGAGAGTAACTAAGACATTTCCTCCTGGTTCCTATGTCGCCTGTTGGCGATCACAGAAATGGGTTCACGGTTCTTTGGAAAAGACTGGCCGATGGTGCGGGCCTGCCGTGGTTCTCGGGTATGTTGGTCGAAATGTGGTGGTCATTCACAAGAGACAGATCTTTAGGTGTGCACCGGAACAAGTCCGACAATCCACCCAAGATGAACTCAAGTTGGTAGACACCCCAAATATGGAATTGCTCGGGATTAAGCGTTTGATCGAATCCAAACAGCTTGAAAGCCGTCAATACGTTGACCTGGTGCCGGAGTCATATCCAAGTGAACCAAATGAGCCACCAGCTGTTCTGCCAGATCCGGGTTCATCGGGCCCGGCGTCCGTGCTTGATCAAGTGCGTGCTGATGAAAGTCAGCCCATGCCTGGTGTAGAGGAGTCTCCGACTGAGCCACAAACACCACAAACGAAAGCCAATATCTGGGAACCAACTCACGATGTCTCCAGCGGGCCATCGAGTTCATCAAAAGGGTCCACCTATGGTCCTGTCAGGCCACCTCGTCGTCAAATCCACCAGAAAGATGGGCCTACGGCCCTGTATCGTCCCGGACCCATGGCCCAAGAAGATTTCCAGGAGCTGATGCAAGAGATAGTGCCTGACCTCATCCAACAGGTCCTCCAAGAGCAACCGAAGTCCTTAGAACAGTCAAGTTTGGATCGGCCGTCGGAGTCAGATTCTGCACGAGGGGTGAAACGAAGCCTTGAGGAAAGCGTGGATCCAGCCGACTTGGAGCCAGCCGACAAACGTGCTACTCCACCCGAGGGTTTCGATGAACTGCTAGTCCAAGAGATAGGTCACACCTTCGTTCGAGATGAAGTAGCCGTTTTGTCTGTTGAGGTGCAATCCCAGGTAGATCCGGATCGCCAATCTGATCGGTTGGAACCCCAAGATCGGACAGCCCTGATCCAAATGTACAACAACGGTGCCTCTTTTGAAGCCTTGGTGACGGCCTACATGAAGAAGAAAACTTCCAAAGAGGTTCCGGCTTCTGGGAACCCCCCTGAAGTTCAGCTGAAGATAGACGAAGCCAAATTGTTTGAATGGAACACTGTCTCAGGGAAACATGCAGCTAGGCTCGTGCTTGGTCCGGAGGCCGCAGAAGTTCGAGCACACTTTGGTCACCGTATCATGGGAAGCAGGTTTGTAGTAACAGTAAAGACCGAAGATATGCTGCACCCCGCATGAAAGCCCGTTGGTGTTTGCTAGGCCACCTGGACCCTGACTTGACGGAGAAAGCACAAGTGGGAGATTTGCAAAGTCCCACGTTGTCACAAGTCGGAAGCAACATGATTTTCCAACTGCTGGCCAGCCACAAGTGGCGTATGTCCTTAGGCGACGTGAAGGGGGCATTTTTGTCTGCTGGTGATCTTCCGAAGAGATACCGTCCTCTCTATGCTCGGCTTCCGCCTGGAGGCATCCCGGGCGTCCCAGAAGACGCCTTGATAGAAGTGGTTGGTCACGTGTACGGACTTAACGACTCCCCATCGGCATGGTACAAGAAGTTGTGTCAGGAACTCATCCAAGTGGGCTTTGAACGATCCCGTTTCGATGCTTGCCTTTTCTACTATCGAGAGCATGGTAAGCTTACAGGTATCTATGGTGTTCACGTGGATGACTGTGTCACCGGGGGTGAAGGTAAGGGGTACCATGATGCCATTGAACGACTCAAGTCGGTATTCGAGTTTCGTAAGTGGAGACAAGGTTCGGGTGACTTTTGTGGGTCGCAGTATGAGCAAACCATGCAAACGTTCGAGATTGAAATGAACCAGTGTCGTTTTGTTGACAAAGTGAAGCCTCTGCACATGAGTAGGGAGAGAGCCCGTGACAAGGACAGCCCGTTGAACGAGAAAGAAATTAGTTGCCTTCGAGCTATCAACGGTAGCCTTAACTGGCTGGCAAACCAGTCGCGTCCAGACCTCGCGACTCAGGTGTCCTTCTCTCAGCAGACCTTCCCAAGACCTACTGTCAGCGATGCAATATCCATTAATCATGCAGTGCGTAGAGCAAAACAACATGCTGACCAGTCCATCCGGTTTTGTTCCATTGCCCCCAACAAGTTAGGTCTTATGTGCCATTCGGACGCCGCCTTTGCAAATGCCAAAGCTGGAGCAACTCAAGCTGGTTTCATAATTAGCTTTGTAGATTCAGGGGTCAATGATGGGAAGGATTGCCCTTGGTCCCCAGCATACTGGAAGAGTTCCCGCTTGCCCCGTGTCGTTAGTTCGACACTGAGCGCCGAAGCTCAGAGCATGTCAGTGGCCTCTAGCATGTTAGAATGGTCTCACCTCATGCTGTCAGAAGCCCTCGATGGTAACCGACTAGCTCAGAGCTTGTGGCAGGGGTTAGGCAATCGCATGACCATGCTGGTTACTGATTGTAAATCCTTATATGACCATCTGCAATCTCAGTCCGCTCCGGGTCTCGACGATCGTCGCACCGGGATTGATATCATCATACTTAGAGATAGCATCGCTAGAATGAAATCCACTCTTCGCTGGATCCCTACTGATCGCATGTTGGCCGATGCTTTGACAAAGGAGAGCCCCGAAGCTTTTGACCTTCTCCGAGCATGTTTGCGCTCCAGCCGATACCAGATAAGCCCTGAGGCCCTGGTCTTGGAACGCCGTGCCACCGAGCGTGACCGACGGAAACAACTCGCTTCGAGAGTGTCCCAGGGGAAACAAGTTGAGGTCCCAGGGCCAAAACCTGGGAAGGAGTGAATTAGGCTGTTTGAGGGTTGTCGCATTCGTGTTGTTGAGTGTGAACACTCGTGTCGAATGCCTGGGGTTGAACAGCTTGATGTCAAAGGGGTCTTCACTCTGCCTTTTTGCCATATGTTTGCACCCGTGTTTTGATAGATATCTTGAGCTAGAAGTTAGGTCCAGTCCATAGGACGAAGCCGCCTGTTCTTTGCACAGTGTTTTGAGTCGACCATCAGTTCTTGTGAAGGCGTGTGATGGACTCACCGCTCCACGTGTCTCAAAAGAGTTTTCAGTGATCACAAGATCATCATCCCTTGTGAACCTTTAGTGCCGTCAGCCATCGCCATGGCTACTCATGAGGGAAAGTCCAATTTCACCTTGGCTGAAGCCGAGGAGTGCGTGAAGTTGATGGTCAAAGCCCGTCGATGTGGGGTATGGGATTCCCTTCTTCGCCGGGTGATCGACACCGAGGATGTGGCCGAGGAGTTGGCTTGGGAGAAGCTTTCTGCCGGTCCTTCCGGCGGAACTATGAACGACAGTAGCAAGAGGCTCCGAGATGATCCGGGCTATTCGACAACGCCCTATGCACCAGCTGCCTCAGATTTGACAAGTCTGATGAGCCCGATGCCCTCCACTGGTGGTAAAGCCTCGATTTTGACTCCGTCGATTGAGTTGCCATCGGGAGTGGAATCGCTTGCCCAATGGGGCCAGACATTGGTCTCGTTCGGCAAATACAAAGGAATGCTGTCGTACCATGAGCTGATGACCTCGAATTCTGAGGGCATGGAATCCTACCGCCAGTTCCTGTATAGCCACGCCAAGTCCGGATCGGCAGGCTTGAAGGATGTTGTGAATTACATGAGGGCTCATGGAGGTGCTTCGAACGACATGCCAAAGATTCCAGGAAGCCAGATGCCTCGGACCTACAAAAAGAGTTGATAGGAATGTCGATCTGTGCCAACCGTGCCGCTTCGTCAGGGACTCTCAAGCCCTAGCGGGAAAAAGGTCCGCATGGAGTGCGGATGTGGGTCTGTGGGCTACCATAATATATATATGTGTGTATATAGTGCAGTTGCCTCCTTGGCTTTCTTGTGTTGGCTCTGAAAGTTTGGGCCTTATTGTAGAAATATTGATGCTGATTACCAGAAGAAACATCTAACTATATATATATATATATCAAAGCCAGCACGGCTGGTTCAGGCAAGAAGGCCGACGCTTGCTACACCTGGTGGACTTTGGCTGCTGCTGAACTGTTGGCTGGCAGTGAGATCGTCAGCATGTTCGATCTGGAAGCCCTCGAAGAGTTCGTTGAGCACTGCATGAGTGCAGAAGGCGGAAGAAAATGACAAGAAGAGGAGACATTCCGGGGATATTTTTGGGGAGATCTTCGAGGAAGATCGACGTCGCATGTCCCCGCAACATGGTGAAACCTGCTCGGTACGGTGCAATTGCTTAGGCTTACTGAACTTGAGCAGAAGCAAATGCCCCACGCAAACCAACAAAACATGCACTCATTTGGTAAGTTGGGCAGTTCAATGACTACAACCCGTCTTTGAGCTGCAGGCGGAGTCGCACCCCACCCGCACGACGACCCGGATCCGTTCCACACCTTCTTTGGGTTGGCTGGCCTCTCACTGGTGGAGCATGCCAGAGAGGGCAGACGAGGGTTGAAGAAGATGGAGCCCACTTTGGTGTTGCCTGCTCAGTTCAGCTGACGTGGAAAGATGTGCAGGACAGACACCGCAAGCCATTTGCGGGCCAAAAGATCAGAGCCTGGCTGAGCATGGTGGGCAATCTGATGGGTTGGTAAACATGGGATTCACCTTCGACCGGGTTTGTCAGAGCTTGATTTTCTTGATTCCTGCAGTTCACAACACCAATGTTTTTTCTTCTCTCTCTCTCTCTCGATGCTATCTGATTTTTTCTTGATTCGCCAGTCGCCTCAACCGTGTGGATGTTATTAGTTCATGCATGCTCCTGCTGGCGGCTGCCAGCATGCATATTTGTCACATCTGCGATCGGCTCAAGCTTGGGCGTGGCGCTTCTGCAGCGCCTCAGCCCAAGAGCTGGGTGGACCTGTCCCCCCACCAGCTACAATGAGGTGGGCACTGCTGGCATTGCTGCTTGCACAAGGTCGGGTAGAACTTGTATGTATTGTCTTTCTAAAGAGTTGAAATAACTGGACCGGAAAGACAGGGGCAAGGGCTGCTCCTGTGCCACCAGGTGTGGCCTTCAAGGCCGAGCTTTCAAAGCAAGCTCCAGCTCACCAGGCAGAGCATGCGCAGCTGCCTGTGGATTCCTTCGTGTCCAGATGGTCCAAGCAACAGATGCTTGGCGAAATGAAGTTAACAGGTTTTTTAGCGAGCAGACTCCATGGCATAGCCCTTTTGTTTTGAGTGTTTTCTGAGAATGAATGAGGGATCTGGATCACTCACGACCATCAAGTGAGGAAGCACTTGAAGGATGTTGAGGACATGGACTACTTCTGGGGAATGCCAAAGTTTGCCTGGGTGGTGGTCTTTGATGTCATTGCTTGCATCTTCTACGTGCTGGGGATGAAGAGTGTGACTATCCTGGCGCGGAAGAGACCGGAGGACCAGGATTGTATGCCGATGCATGATGAAGATCTATTTTACAACACGAGCTGCACATAACAAGAGAAACCCTTGCTGAGAGAGGGGAGAGAGAGAGAGAGAGAGAGAGACAGAAAGAACGACAGAAAGAAAGAAAGAACGAACGAACAAAAGAAAGAAAGAAAGAAAGAAATAAAGAAAGAAAGAAAGAAAGAAAAAAACATATATAAATAAATAAATAAAGAAATAACGAAAAACACAAAACAAAAAAGCACAATAAAGAAAGACAGACAGGAAGAAAGAAAGAAAGAAAAAGAAAGAAAGAAAGAAAACGAAAGAAAGAAAGAAATAACGAAAAACACAAAACAAAAAAAACACAATAAAGAAAGACAGACAGGAAGAAAGAAAGAAAGAAAGACATAAGGACAGAAAGAACAGAAAGAAAGAAAGAAAGAAAGAGCACCTTCAATGACGCCTTTTCTCAGAAGCATAGGGAAACCATGTCGGCTAGTGCCATCCGGGTCGGCAGCATGGATGGCCCGAGTGTGCTGAGGACACCGATTATTTTCTTCAAGCGCCTGTTTGAGCCCAGTGACTGGGATGGAAGAGAATCAATTTCCAGCCCAAAGCTTTGCGGCAACAAGCAGCCCTCGTTTGAGACTGGACCATGCAGAGGAAAAATGCAGAGCTACACTCGCAGGATCCGCGACTGTTTGAGACATGTGGTACGTACCCAACAGACCTGGTTGAACCATGTTGAACCAGCTTTTCAGCATTCTTGTACATCACGACGGCACAAAGAGAATTAGACACGACATAGGTGAAATAGGTTGTAACACGGTTGTGCTTTGAGCCAGTCAAGAGCTCCAAACATCCTCGCCGTGGGGACCCCAACCCCAACTCGGGGTCTGCCCTGCAGGTCCAGCCCGGCCACGTTCAGCCGCAAAGCAAAGGCCGGGATTGCGTAGCTACTGAAAGGTTTCTAACGGCCAGCCATACACACGCATGTGCAGAAAATGGTTGTTCTTACTAGAACGTGCAAATCAATCAGCGATTTGATTGAAGTGATCTAGGAAGGAGAAGCGTTGCTTGAGCTTGAACAAGAACCTGAGTCCTCTTGAGGCAGGTCTTGCAATTCGGCGAGGTTCCATCGCTCTTAGGTTGGAGGCCATTGCTCTGGTTGGAGAGCACCGCTCTTAGGTTGCAGGCCATCGCTCTTAGGTTGGAGGCCATAGCTCTAAGAATGGAGGCCATTGTTGGTAACACGTCGCTGGTTGCCCTTTTTTCGCTCGTTTGTGCCCTGCAGGAAATGCCTTCAAGAGGCGAAAGGTTGAGTCGCGTCGCGAAGAGTTTGGATGCTTGACAGCAACCCGTACCGTTCGCACCGGAGGCAGTATCCGGAAGGAGAGGTACGGATTGGTCTATTTCATGGAAACATATTTTATATATCATTGTGTATGTGTTCATGCCTTGCACGAATGTATTGGACACATATTACATACTCAATTATATATAACAGTCGACCTTGATGTGTGTAGCGTATGCCGACTCGGTATAGTCTCCGGATGTGCTTGGGGTCCCTGTTTTTGAAAGAGAAGGTTTGTTGGGATTCATGAAGTCCTGGCAGTTCTTTGGGTGCCAAATCATATTCATTTTTTTCGGGGGGTGCTCCTTATCATAGTAATAAAACATTGTAATAATTAGATATTTGTTGTGAATTATTTTCTTGGTCGCTGACCTTGTCATTCTGATTTGAGGAATCGGCATGAAGGGACATAGCCGGAGGGTTCACCCCTTGCCTTTCTTGACCGTTTTCTTCTAAAGTATTTTTTGGTATCACTGAATACTTATGAATAACTAGTTGGACAATTTCTTGTTAACGCATTTCCCTGAGTAGGATGTGCATTAAGCTGGCAAGATTCCAATGAAGTTTGGCCGACGCAGTGGCCAGAATTTCGACACCCTCCCAGAAGTGCGGAGGCCATTTCCTCCAACACCGGCTGCTTGTGGATTTTACGGCCTGTGCCATTGGCCTCGGGGAGAGCATGGGAGAGCCGAGACGTGAGACGCGCCAAGGATATGATGCAGGCGACGCTGCGGGAGATGCAACAGACACATGCGGCGATGCTGAGGCGGACGTCGTGGTGTTAACTTGGGTTCGAGTCGGTCGGGGGCATCGTAGACATTGATAGAACGCATGCTAAAGCCAAATCCCAACCAATTCCATCCAATTCCCTAGTTCGTAGGTGAATGTTAAACATATGTTAACAATCAGGTTGGTGCAGAAGCCTGAATCTTGTGATTCCTTCAATCTTCAATCACTTCTTGCGTGCGTGAGTGGCGCTCCCAACCACTGAATGCGGAGAAACCGCCTTAGCCGCTTTAGCCAACTTTAGCCTAAAAGGAGACGTGCCTCTTCTGAATCTTTCAAGTTCTTTGAGATCCATTCGTTTGTGGAGGATGTTCGCACATGGCTTTGCCACAGGCAGTTCTATCCTGAAGATGCAGTGAAGCCGCAAACCTTGCCACCTGCACCTCGTCCAACCGTCCACCAGGGCGGTGGGCCCGGTGCATCGGTGCCACGCGGAGGAGCGACGGCAGGAGATCAAAATGGACTTTGCTGGCAGAAGGGAGACGGGTGGCTGATCAAAAGGGAGTCAAGATGTAGAGCAGCAGCTGAGCAGCATAGAACCATGAGTTCCTGCCTCTTTAAAGCTAAACTAAATGACTCTAGTTGCCAATAATTCTGCACGGGTGAGCTAAGCCTCCTACTTGGAAGGATGTGAGACTAGCAGACGAAGCGTTAATGCCCGGCTCCGGTCCATTCTCAGGATTTGCATGAGGTGTGCCTATGTGCCTGCGGGTGCTTTGAGGTAGGGACCTCACTTCTTGGGCAAGGGCCTTTTCATGATGGGATTGTCGGCAGAGAAGCAAAGCCAACAACTCTGATTGTGCGCATGAAATCGCTGTACAGTTGTGCCCCACATGAGGCAACATAATCAAGCACACTCCAGACCAGCTTTAGTATTCTTACTCTTGCATTTTGCGAGCAATGGAGTCGTGCGGGCCACCTAAGTGGAGCAGGCTTGAGCAACGGATTGGAGGGGGGCGGCAGCTTTGTCCTGAGTTGTTCGGAGCGGCATGTTTGGACAGAGAGCGTTCCCTACACAGTATGTTAGAAGATGCTCCACAGCAATGAAGCGCTAATTACCCTCAAAATTGAGACATCCCCAAATCCTTCACACCGGTGTCAGTGCCCAATGTCAGCGCACATCAAACGAATGTCGTTGCTGCGGTCCTTCTATCCTAACAGCTGAGCGCCAAGTTCCGATCGGCCCTCCTGAAAGGACCATCACAGACCTGACCGTTTGAAACGCTACGACGAAGTGTTTTGGCCGAAGGCCGCAGTATGCAGAACTCAGAACATTTTGACCGAGACTGCGCTACGCTTTTCCACACCAGAAGGGTTTGGCAACTTTTTTCCCAAATGCAAAGGACTTTGTCATACATGTTGTCTTTTAAGCTCAGAAGGTTCAGGGGTCAATACCGAGGCCGCTGGTAGTTTCATCACTAAATGTGTATATAATATAACATATATATATATTTATGTATGATTCATGCATTTGTCAAAATCCAACCGGCCAATCTGCCTCCATACTACATTACATAGTCGTGTGCTTTGAATTGATATGGACCAATCCACCCAGAGCAGGAACTGCGGTTTACCCATATATTGTTTCAGCAGCTGCTAGCTCAAGCACGGAGCAACGAGCCGTGCCCACAAACAATTCTTTAATCGTCGGCGGTGTACTTCATTGTGGACGGGCAATGTGCAGGTGGGAAGGGTCACTGTGTGTGGGAAGGGTCACTGATGTAGTTGCGTGATGCCAATGGAGTTTTGAGGGGGGCCATGACCCAACAAGAATAGTCCCCCCAGGCTTCATTGAGGTGGAAACTATACGGAGTAGGAAAACGAGAAGGCCATTTCCGAAACACGTGTTTCAGCGATATGCTGAGTTTCCGACGTACCGACGTATTGCCAGTTTCAGAGACATACTTTAATTGTCTTTAAGTACATGATGTCCGACTCAGAAATCCGTCTCAAGCGATTCCAAGCAAAGAGACTTCATGAATTTTGGAGGCACCGCCTTGGCTGTTGAATTCTTGGAATCCTCAGGGTCCAAGTTTACGCTTCCCTGCGTGTGTTCTTTTTGTGGAGTCGTTGCACATGCCATGCATCAGTCTCGCCCGCCAGGTGAATCTGATGTTGATGATGATGATGCGCCGCAACGATCGCACTCACCAAATCAGGGACTCCACTGGACAGACGGACGCACGAGCCAACGACGCTGGGCGTGGGGTTGGAAGAAGCCGGCGACAAATGCAGCAGGTGTTGGTAAGAAACGAGCATTCTTCGTGTCAAACTAGACTGCTTGCTAATAGTTGATCATTCTTTGTGGTTCTTGTTCGTGCTGGGTGTTCAGAGGATTGTTGAGGAGTATGCTGTAGCTATAGCAGCATTTTGACATATTTTGACGATGGGACCGCATTCAGATGCAGAGATAGGGCCAACGGGCGAAGTAGTTCGTGCTTTCGGAGTGCCAGTTCCATACCGAGGGCGCGCACGTCCAAGGATGTAATCTCCTACCGGCGCGATGTCCTCCAGCAGACGGCCATCAGATTCTTTATTCGGGAGAGCCATGGTGGCATTAGAATTGGACTATATAGATTCACGAATCTCAAGGCAAAGCAAAGCACCACTCGGAGAGTGTGCTTTTAGCGGACCAACTCAGAACAGCCACGAAATCCTTGGCCTTGTGTGCAGTTTTGGCCCAAACCACTGCTCGTAGAGTTTTTGACACATTCGGCTGCGGCATGTCGAACCCAAAGGTATTCTTTGTCTGGGGCTGAGTTGTCCGGGAAAGGGGGACAGGCGCATGTAGAGAGTAACCCCACGGAATGCCACACGATCACCACACAACCTGTGCTGCAACGCCCACCATTAATCCACCGACCATTTTGGTGGACTCGAACGGGCAATCCTGGAGCTAGTTGAGAGGACTTCCTCAATGATGCTGAAAGGAGCATGCCACTTGAATACTGATAATACTGTACTGACCAAGCTGGAAGTATCTCAGCCTTTGGGCATGCCCATAGCGTTCCAGGGATGTCGCAGGCCCTGAAAAACGCCCTGACAACGCGCTAAGAGCTGTAGCTTGTGACAGATCAAAGCGCACAGCCACGCGGGATCGCGGAGAAACGTCGACGAAAGCAACCTGAAGACCGTAGTTCTTAGGCAGGTTCTTTATCAGATTTCATTTCATCTACCACTCTTTCCTTCCCATCTCGTCCATCACTCGCAGGACATCACCATCGGTGGTACCGCCGCCGGGCGCGTCGTCATGGAGCTTCGAGCGGATGTGGTGCCGAAGACGGCGGAGAACTTCCGATGCCTTTGCACCGGAGAGAAGGGCATGGGGAAGTCAGGCACGCAGAAGGGAGAGGCTCCGGTCTGTGCATGGAGTTCAGTGGAGACAATTCCTTGTTAAACTATAGGATAGTGGATTGATACGGCATTATGCTTGCTGCTTGCATCCTTGACACATGGATGGCCCAAGCTTCGATCAGAGTTGTTACACTAGCGCAAGCAGCACAAGTCGCGAAGCAGTCGCATTTTTTTGGGTCTTCAGACAAGAAACGAACTTGGGGCAGAAAGACGAACAGAACTGACAGAGAAAGAGGCGGGTTGGACTCTTCCCATGCCCAGAGAGAGAGAGGAAGAGAGATAGATAGAGAGAAAAGAGGCACAGATACAGACAGACAGACACGCAGACACGCATAGCCATTTCTCAGACAGATTGTGTCTCAGATTTTGGGTTGATTGCGCAACACGGGCGTGACCACTGATAATCGCTACATGGCGACACTTGACTTCAGTTTGTCTCTAGTTTTTTGCAATATTTGATAATATTTGTAGGCCCCGGGGTTTGTCGTGAACTGCGCTCCCCAGCCAAAGAAATATATATTGTAATATATTGTAATTTAATATCTGATATTACGATATATTACTATATATATATAGGTATACACCATTATACACCTATTATATGCATGAAACATAGATCAGGGAAGTCGCACTTTCATTCTTGGGAGGCAAGCCTCTTCACTTCAAAGGAAGCGCCTTCCACCGCGTGATCCCCGACTTCATGTGCCAGGCGGGGCCTTTGGCACCGATTGAATCGTGCTTGCTGTTTCCCTTCTCAATTTAGACCAGCAGTGCTTGTTTGGAACCAGTCAAGTTGCAATCTAGCAGGTGAACAGGAAGCCGTGACAAACGTTAGTTCAGCCTTCCAGGGCCACCCTAAACCCGCCGCGTTTCAGATGTGACCGCGACACGGCACGACAGGGGGGCGACTTCACTGCAGGGAACGGCACAGGCGGCGAGTCCATCTATGGCGCGAAGTTCGCAGATGAGAACTTTACCCTGAAGCACACCGGGCCTGGACGCTTGTGCAGGATCAAGGTGTGGGAAACAGATCTAGGATGATTTAGCTCCTAGGTCAATTGTTTGTCAATTTCAAGATTCGGATTTGACATAGCTTTGTACACTTGGCCAAGGGAAAGTGGCTGCATTAGGGGAGAAGGTCTTTGCGAAGACCGTCCACACGGGAAAGCACTTGTGCTCCCAGAGCGCAAGAACGTTGCGTCTTAGATATCGACCAGCCGCTGGTACCTAGAGCCCAAGGCGTGTTGTATTCAATCAGCCCCAATAGGAAAATCCGCAGGTGCAAACGAAAGCAACACGCACACTCAATAATGCAATCGCGGCAGCATAACTAACATTATGAATAGTTTCTTCCGTTTCTCTTTACGGGAGGCCACAGGGGCAAGTGCACACAACGTCAATAATGCATTCTCACTCGGGCAGCATAACTAGTATCGCAAATGATTTGTTCGTGTTTCATTGGCTTTTAATAGACATCAAAAACAGGACATTCTAGAGCAAAAAAGCCGCACACCCCAAGCTAAAGCTCAATGAGCGAGCAATTACTAGCGGTTTACGCGACGCCTCAGCACCTTCGGTGCAGGCGGATTTGTCTCTCGCGTTCGGTGGCTGGCGTGCCTGCTTTCTGCAACTGATTCTCCAGTCCACGCGAAAGTGGGCATGCCATCCTGGATGGTTCAGCGGAGAACTTCTTCTTGGAGTTCTCATTAATAAAGCGAACGTGTCAGGGTGAAGTCCGCCAATTGTGGCATATTGTGGCATGCTTGGCCTACATATAATAGACCCGGACCAGTGCAGGCAAATATCGTCACTTCTTACCTAGCATGTTTTACTTTTTTTTTTGGACTTTATCGTTTCCAATCACAGTTAGAATCTAAAAAACTGTGATGGTGTCACTAGCACTTGCGTTTCAGCGTTGCTGCTGCCAAGTTTGTCCACCGTGATGTGATTGTGCTTGCTGGCATGTTTCACGCTCCTTGAACACATTCGGCATGATTCACCCCGCCACCCCACCTTCCCAGGAACCCTGTCTATGGCCAATGCCGGTCCGAACACCAATGGCTCGCAGTTCTTCCTTTGCACGGTGAAGACTAGCTGGCTGGATGGCAAGCATTGCGTCTTCGGTTCGGTCACAGAGGGTGCCTGAGCACTGATGGAGGGTGTTTGACGGGCCTTTGATAGGTCAATTTTGATCATTTTGCATAATTTTGCGACGTAAATATGACCAACCCAATAATGGACAATAATGGACACAATATAGTTGAGAGAATACAGTCATCCCAAAGGCATTCAGAGACGACCATGCATTCCATGTGACCTGTCATGTCAGTGATGCTCATTTTGGGTTTCCCGACTTGCTTTGGCTCAAGACTGAAGGAAAACGGTGCGTGTCGTTTCGTCGCGCAGTTGTCTTGTTTAGGGGGTTTGGAAGCTGTGCCCTCTAAACAACTGGTTAACAGCCTCATAGTGCATCTTTCCATATAGGGTTTGTTCCTGCCTTGAGCCAGCTCGGACAATTCCAACCTCGCCTAACTCCCTTTTGCGCCAGAGCATATATCGTGTTGATTGCCCGTGCCAATTGGTGTTAGTGACCTTGCATCTTGTCTCAGGCCAAAACCTTTGTGCGAGCTGCATCTCAGACCGCTGTTGTCAAGGACAGAGGGTCTTCGTGTCTTCAGGGCGGGGTGTTTTGCATACGGTGCAACTCCGGTACCAAAGAGGATAGTATCCGACCTCCATAATCACAAAGGCCTCAAATAGGAACCAAGTTTCCATCCTTTTTTAGAGGATTCTCGGCTCCACCTGTGATACCGTTTCCATCTAAGTAAGAGTCTCAGTCAGGCATTTTGCCCGATCCTCATCTTTCTTAAAGCAATTGAGTGGAGAGATCCTGAGAACAAAATTGAAACTCGTGACCAACTGCACCTTTGGGATCAAGAGTGTTTGCAACACTAGTTGTCATTTGCTCGCCGCACCTCGTGCATGCGTCGGGTGCCTCCGCCTCCTCCTCCTCCGAGACAAAGGTCGAGGAGCCCTGTTGAGAGAAGACAGAGGGCAGTGCTTGAAGCTCATCGTCGCAATCGAGCTTCCAACAGGGGTGGGAGGGCAGCGCGTCGTCGTACAAGGGCGATACATCGACAGTTGCTTGAAATTCTCTTGGAACGTGTGCTTCGGATTATTCGTCAGCTGGCTTTTGCAGTAGCATCTGAGCGTCGACAGTGGGATCTACGCTATCGGCAGGTGCAAGAGCGGTTGAATTATTTGAGCCGAGAGGATACGTTTCCGGAGAGCAAGCACATTGTGTTGCCGAATCTTCGATCTTGGGTGGCAGAACAACCGGATATCCGAGAAGAAGCCGATCGTTTGTCAATAGAGTCAGAGAGTGTGCAGGAGACTGTTAGCTTGCCGGTGAGTCGTTCTGAATCCGAAACGGAAGCTGAAGCTCAAACACCGCCTCCTCTTCTTGTTCGCTTGACGGCGTCCAGGGCGAGTACATTGGCAGGAGTTTCAGTGACAAGGAACAATCCATTGTTGCGGCAACAGCTTGCTTCACCGACAGCTTCATTGGCAGCCCCATCGACCGCTTCGCCCACACCGCCAAAGGCCAATCCTCCAACACAGCGACCTCCTCAGGTGGACTTGACAGTGCATCGACCTCCTCAGGTGGACTTGACAGTGCAGCGACCTCCTCTGTTGGCTCTGACACCGGAGAGAGTCGGGCAACTTGAGGCACGGCATCATTTGGGTCGGCGTCCCATTCCTGCGAATACCAAGTTGATTCTGAGCTGGGACTTCCACCAGGTATTGGACTGTTTTCGCTACAGCAATACACGAAAAGTTCATTGCCAGCAAGGGTGGTTGCCACAAGAGGTCCGTTCAGCTGTTGCAGATTTGCAATCTGATCAGATCTGTCAGGTCGTTGTGAGCTATTGTCACAATCCGGACACTGTGCAAAACGTGCTCAGGCATACATTGCCTCAAGCTGAGTTTTCTGGTGTGTACATCACAAGGAAGCCAGACGGGCCAAAGGGAAAGCTACAGCTCTTGCTGTCGTTACAAGGGCCTGGAGTGTACCTGGCTCACGTGGACGATTCGCCAGAGGTGTTGAGTGAGATTCAGAACCACATCGAATCTCACCCCTATTGCGGTTTGGACATTGTTGGGCTTGTCGTGCCTCGCAAGCGGCAGATTGCAGGGGTCAAGTACTGCCGGAACGTGAGAGAGATTGTGGATAACATCGTGGCCACTCGTCGCTGGCATTAGCGCAAAGTCGCTTGTAATATAGCAGAACTTGCACTGAGGGGTGAAAGTTTGCTGTGTTCAGGGCCGGTGCTGAGTGTTTGCATTCGTGCAACTTCAGTGTCATTTGGGTGAACCCCAATCCATTGCAAAGCTTTGTTGATTGGTAGGCATTTTTTTGCATTGTGTTCTCTTTTGATACCATGCCACAAATTTCAGAAATTAGAGATTCATTCGATATGATGTCACCAGAACCTCAAGATGAGTCGACCTCACAGTCCATGTTGGTGTCATCAACTAGCCCGGAACAACCCCCGCCACACAGGGCTCTCCAGGTGATTAAGACGAACACCAAAGGGTCTAGGGAAGCCAGTTCTCAAAGTAGCAGTAGGAGCTCGTCGGCAAGACCACCAGCGGGCAGAGCCGGTCGTGAGGTTTCGCACAGGGGTCCTGGTTCCGTGCACCTACATGACCAAAGGTCAGTAACCCATGCTCAAGATCAAAGCAACACCGCTGTGTACTTGCATGACCAAAGGACATTGCAAATGAGCATGGGGGTGCCAGCAGACCAGGTGATAGCCCGTGAGAGTGAACTCATGTCCCAAGCTCATGCCGCAGTAAGTGCTGCCCGTACCGAGACCCAAGTGATCATGTCACACGCAGAGTCCGAAGTTCGCGCATTGCAAGAACAGGTTCAGGTTGTTCAGGGTGAAGCTCAATCCAGGGTTCTAGAAGCACATGCTCATGTGCAATCCGTGGAATCCCAAGCTAGCCGTCTTGTGGATGAAATGCAAAGAACCCACAAAGAGGAAGTAGAGAAGTTGCAGGACATCGCTCAAAGAGCTTATGCTGAAGCGCAACAGCAACTCTCTGTGTCAGAAGATCGTAATCGACAACTCCTGGAAATGATTGACAGACAAGCAAAATTGTTGGAAACACAGAAGAAAGACCAAGTAGCCTTAGCTAGCCAAGTTGCCATGTTGCAGAATGAACTCACTCTGTTGCAACATTCAGCAGTTCCTCAAACTCCTCAGTCCTATATCCATAATGGCGCGGTTGATGCGCAGGAATTGTTGAAGGTAATGGGGTCCCTCAAAGAGGAAGTGAAGCGGTTGCAGAACATTGCATCTGGCTCTCCCCATGGATCTCCCCATGGATCACCCCACTACGAAGGGCAATCGGCTTGTGCTGGGTACCCACCTGTTGACACTGCTGCTAGGTCACCAGCGTCCAAGGGTTTTGGTCCGCGTTCGACATTTCCGCAAGTGTTTTCGATGTCCACACCATCAGCTGTCCCGCCTGATCCAGGACCGTCGTCGGACTCATCATCATCATCTTCCACAAGCAAACGTAGAGGAGGAAGAGGGTCGCCGGGAAGTACAGGTCCTAGCTCGCCGGGAGGTGGAGATCCTGGTTCGCCGCAGCCATTTGGGTCTGGGGGTTTCGGGTACAGTCGCAATCCATCCGTTGGCGTCGGATCGGCATATGTCAGTGATGAATCTGTCATTTACAAAGCTAAGGACTTGAGTTTGATTAAGATAGATAGCATTCCAGTCGATGCAGCACAGTTCCGTGGATGGAAGAACACCTTTCTGACAAAGGCCTCTTCGATCGATAGGACCGGACAAAGTCGGATCCTCCAGTGGTTGCTTCAAGCGTTCTCGGTCGAAGCCACGAAAGAAATGTTAGAGGGTACTTCCGGGGAAATGCCAAGATTGGATGCTCATCTTGCAAGCCTGTTGATGGAATCTAAGCACCTCAAAGGGGAGCTTGGTTTGCAGTTTCAGGCGTACACCGAATCCGAGCAGATGAGGGGAAGGGCTCCGTTGGGGAGGGTCTTGTTGAGTATGATTGCAAAGCGATTTTTCCTTGACCAGAACCGTGGTGCCAATCTAACCCAACAAAGTTTGCTTGAGATTGAGGTGACAAATTTCACGCATGAGGGTCTAAGAAGCTTCGTAGATCGGGTAGAGTATGTGCTCAATTCCATCCCACCGGAGTTGCAGCCTTCCGAGATGACACGGTATACTTGGCTGTACTCGAGAATGCGTAAGGTCCGTGCCATGCAGCGTCACGTTGACAAGATCCGTGACTCACGTGCTGGCTCACACTGTCGCACATGGGAATGGCTTTTCAATAAGCTCAAGATTTGTATCAACGAGATGAGAGAAGACCAGAATGAAGAAGCAGTGCGCAGTTCCTTGCAAAGCAAGACCAGAGAAAAGAACAAGCTGCTTGACAAGCCAAAACCAAAGGCTGCGGCAGCAGTGTCACGTGAACACGATGCGCCAGGTGCCGAGTCCAAAGGACTGCCAATCCCTAAGGCTAAGGCAAAGCCGAAGCCACAGCCAAAGGCAAAGGGGAAAGGTGAGGGTTCCGAGAAGGACAAGAAGGGCAAAGGTAAGGGTAAGAGTCAAGGAGAGGAGGCAAAGCCAAATCCCAAGGCAAAGCCTGACTCTGCAAAACCAGAGGATAGTTCGCGAGTAGAGTGTCTGTTCTGGGGTAAGGGGACGTGTACCCGTGGTGATGCATGTCCATTCTACCATGACCCTGCCAAAGCCAAGGCAGCGGCAAAGCCAAAGCCGGCGCCTTCGAAGTCATCCGGGCCTTCATCATCGACTGCGAAAGCTGCTGTCGCGACCATAGCTGCAGTCGGAGGTGTGACCACATCATCTGCATGTCCAGCTTCACCGTGTAGGGTAGCATCTTCCATGGGAAAATCGTTCATTGGGAGGATCATGCAGTTTCTTGCATCTTGTGTCACAATGTTCACCGGTGTCAAAGACACCAATCCATTGCAGGTGTATGCAGAACATGCATCTCTGCAAGCAATGCCAGCAGTAGTGTCACATGAGCAAAGTGTTGCATTGAGTGCTCGTTCAGCGGACAAATTTGCTTTTGAGTGGATTGCGGATTCCGGTGCAGGTCGTGACTTGGCATCCGTTCGTGCTTTGACCGATCAAGGGGTTCCACAACATCTCGTTCAAAAGCAAATGCAATCAACAAGTCCAATCAAATTCGAAACGGGAAACGGTACTGTTGTGAGTGATTCATGCATTGATGTTCCTGGATCGTTGTTTGGCAAAGCCAACTTCCAGATCATGGACGATTGCCCACTTGTCAGATCCTTAGGTAAGCTTGTGGAGCAGGGTTATCCTTTTATTTGGTGTCCAGGGGAATTGCCGTATTTCGGTCGCAATGCAGAGTCCGTGCAAGTCGCAGCAGATGCGTCTACCATCATTGTTGCAAATCGTGTAGAAGACGGGGTGCCTATTTTTTCAGAAGAATTTCACATGTCGTCAGCATATGCCCTGGCAGGTGCATCTTCAGAAGGTGTTGAGCCAGCTCCACCTCCAGCAGAAGTCCCAAGAGCTCTAGAAGCTGTGCGGGAAGAGGGGGGATCATCTGATGCAGACTCCGAAGGGGAAATGCCGATTGATCGGATGAGGAGACTGGTGGCTGAAGCTAACTCCCTCGAGCATAAACTGTGTCATTTTCCGAAAAACGCATCATGTCCAATTTGCCAAAGGTCCCGGATGTATCGAAAGCGTGTCCGTAGGTTTAGGCATGATCCGCTTGCCGACCGAGGAGCTTTAGACCCGGTAACCACATTTGGAGAAAGAATTGCAACTGATTTTGTGATTGTTCAGAAGTTAAGTACAGGAAAGGAACATGCCGTTCAGGTCATTAGAGATGAGTACTCAGGATGGCTCAGAGCGTTTCCTTTGGCGAAGCGAGACACGTCCACGGTCGTTGGAAACATTCTAGCCTTTCTAGGTCCCTCCTATGAGCAGCCATCCATCATGGTGAAGTCCGACCAAGCCGTTGAAACAAAAGCAGCATGCAAACAATTGGGATGTGCATTTGAAGGAACTCTAGAGAACAGATTCCCCCATAATGCCACTCTAGAAAGGGACATTCGAACTTTGCAGGAGATTGCAAGAGCGTGTCACCTTCAGGCAGGGTTTGATGTAGTGCCCGGGTTGTGGGTTCATTCCATTGATTATGCTGCTACCATCCTGTCGGCTCGTCAAAAGGCTGCTGGGAAGGACCAGACTCGTCACATGCTAGCCGTAGGAGTCGAATTCTCGGGTCGGAAGTTGTTGTTGGGACAGCTTGTTCACTACTATGTGGACCCTTCTCAAAGAGGAAAGTTTGACCCTTCATCAAAACCCGGGTTGTTTGCAGGCTGGAGGTACGATTCAGGTCCTAAATCTCACAAGGGCATATATCTTGTGCTTGACTACGGTAAAGTAAAGGACAGGGGGGCAGGGTATGCAAATGCAATCTCCGTGCCAGCTGAAGAGCTGTTTGTCGAGGAAAAAGAACCAATGCTTCCATTGAAGCGCGCAGCTGATCTTGCATTGGCCAATTTCGGTGATGTAGCCTTGGAAGATATCGCGTCCCTTGACATCCCCTTTTCCGATGCTGCCGTTGAAAACAAAACGAAACGAAACGAATATATCACTCTGGAACGTATCATTCGCTTTGGAGCAACAGATGGTTGTCGTGCCTGTAGGTTCGAAGCAACTTATAGTAAGCACACTCCAGTTTGCCGGGCGAGGTTCAACGGACTGCTCAGGGCAGAACGCATAGCCTCTGGAAAGGAAGAGGGAGCAAAGACACCCGTGCCCATGCCAGAAACACCAGCAACCATGCCGGTGCCGTTGTGGAGCTGCCAGAGGTAGACAAAGAGTTTGCCGGTGTTCCGTCTGAAGAGCTGCCTTTTAGTGCCGGAATTCCACCAGGACATGCAGCCATCGGTAAGGTCCTTGAACTAGAGGAAGTGTTTGTAGAAACTTGTCGGATGAGAAATCGATACCGCAGGCTTCACAGACTTCCAGGGGATAATGTTTTGTTTGAGTTCGCGTGCTCCAACAACTCTGTGCTGGGTCAAGTTGCTGAATCCATCAATGTGGACTGCATCAGACTTAGTCGAGACATGTTGGACTTGACTGATCCTGACCACCTGTCACAGGCCCTGGGACAGGTTGATGCTATGGCAGGAGCTGACACGTGGGTTTCTATTGTGTGCACGCACCACAGCCCATTGCAGCATCTCAATAAGCATATACATGGACGGTCATTCCAAAGGAAACTCAAGCAGAGACAGAAAGAAGCCATTGTTTTGCTACGTAGTGCAGAAGTGTTCATGGATAAGGTTCTGAGTCACGGTGGTCGTGTTGCCTTTGAATTGCCAGCAGAGAATGAACTGTGGCAAGATCCCCAATGGCTAGAGTTCGAGAAAAGCCATTGCATGAAACGAGTTTATTTTCATGGCTGTGCGTTCAACCTTCGTGGGAAGAAAGGTGAGCTGATAAAGAAGCCTTGGGCAGCTTGGGCAGTCAGCACAACCGACCTCAGACTCATCCAGTTCCTTGATCAATGCAAGTGTGATGGGAAGCATGAACACGAACCTGCCGTGGGTGGTAACGCAGCGCATACTGCATACTATACCCCGGAAATGGCGTCAATAATCCTAGAAGCCCTCTATCCCAACAAGTATTATTGTTCCATACCTTGTGTCGTGACTGGTTCTGCACTTGTGACTCTCAACCTCACTCGTAGTCAGTGGTTGAATGATGAGCAAGGCGTTCAGGCTGTTCAGAACGAGGCCGGAGGTCTCCGACAGAATGAAACATGGGATGATGATACCGTGGATACCCTCCACAATTGGAAAATTTGGGCCAGGAATAACAACATTAAAATTCACGTTGCTGACTTGTTGACCCTCTGTGGTTTTAAACACTACGAGTTAGAGCCTGCAAAGTGGAAATATAAAGGTAGAATCGTCTATAGAGGGGACAGGATTCGTGACTCTCATTTTGTTTCAAGAGACTGCAACGAGTCCAACCGCCATCATAGCCTTGCAAATCGCCTTGTGGTTCGGGATGTTGGCCGAACATATGGTTACATGTAGTGATGCAATTCAAGCCTTCTTGCAAAGCAGGTTGGACGAGGACGACTTCACACTTGTGATCATCCCGGTCGAATTGTGGTTGCCAGACTGGAAGAACAGGTTTGGCGAAGATGCCCGATTGGCAGTCAGATTGCGCAAGAGCTTGTACGGCCACCCAATGGCTGGAAGATGGTGGCAAGATCACCTCACCTCATGTCTTGTTTCGCTTGGAGGGATTGAAATGCAGGAACATCCCAGCAATTTCCTGTTTCGATGGAATCCTAGCAAACATGGGGGTGATGTAGATCATGAATATGTCCTTTTACTTAATGTGTATGTAGACGATTTGACGCTAAGTGGTCATCGGTCGTGCCATGGTTCCTTCTGGAGCGCCTTGTCGTCAAAAGTGAAGATGGAGCCGTTCCAAGAGATCGACTCGAAAGGTCTCTTGATTTTGGGACGCAGACACTTCATTGAGAAAGGTCCTTCACAGACAAAGATCACATTTGACATGCGTACATATGTTGATCAAGTCGTTGGATCATACTGTGAGCTCACTGGAACAAAGCAACAGTCGCTCAAGAAGGTCAGCACTCCAAGTTATCCTGAAAACACTATGACGGACCAGGAGCTGTCACAGACAGGGGAGCTCAGTGGCGTGGCGTCACGAATTCTGATGCGAGCGCTCTGGCTATCACGCTTGGCGCGGCCAGACATCAGTTTCATTGTGGGCCGTCTCACAACGAGGGTCACTCAGTGGACGAAATTTGAGGACAGACAGCTGTACCGATGCATCTGTTATCTTCATCATAGCCGAGACAAAGTTTTGGTTGGAGAGATCGACCATGCTCATGAACATGAGGCATCAATTGAGGTTTACACAGATGCTGATTTTGCAGGTTGCCCTCACAGTGCCAAGAGCGCAAGTGGCATCATGATTGCAATCAAGACTGGCGGTGCAACATACCCTTTGCATTGGAGCAGTCGAAAACAGTCCAGTGTAGCAAGGAGCACGCCAGAGGCAGAACTGATTGCTATGTCAACTGCCATGTTTACAGAGGTGTTCAATGTTCAAACCATGCTAGAACACTTGATGCAACGCCCGGTTCCTGTCAACTATAGGCAGGACAACCAAGCGGTGGTGCAGATCTTGGAGACAGGGTATTCCGCCAAGCTGCGGCATGCACCTCGGGTGCATCGTGTAAACGTTAGTTCTGTGCACGAGGTCCTTCAAGATGAACATATGCATGCTGTTTGGTACACACAAACATCAGAACAGATAGCCAACGGACTGACAAAGGTAATCACACCTGCAGAATGGCCAGCCATGTTGAAGCAGCTATGCATCTGTGACTTTGCCGTCGGTTCTGCTATATGAAAGTAGATTGATAGAAGCAACCAGGTATGGAATGCTGCCCGAGGGGGGAGTTGAGAGAATACAGTCATCCCAAAGGCATTCAGAGACGACCATGCATTCCATGTGACCTGTCATGTCAGTGATGCTCATTTTGGGTTTCCCGACTTGCTTTGGCTCAAGACTGAAGGAAAACGGTGCGTGTCGTTTCGTCGCGCAGTTGTCTTGTTTAGGGGGTTTGGAAGCTGTGCCCTCTAAACAACTAATATGACACAATTAATGGACCTTCTTGCCATTTCTTCCGGGGCGTAGCGACCGAGTGCTGGTGTTTAACTTGAATGCGATACACCTGGAGATATTTAGTTGACTCGTGTTTGTGCATGACCATCCTGAGACGCATTGTCAACTTTGCCAACTTAGAGTTGTTTGAAGGTTCAGAAAGCTGCACCGATCGGCTGACCCTGTCGATTGAGGAATGGATGTGGTGAAGAAGGTCGAGGCCGTTGGCTCCCAGTCAGGCAAAACCTCCAAGCCCGTTGTGGTGGCGGACTGCGGTCAGCTGGCGTGACACGCGACACGCGCTGTGGCCGCACTGGTTGTGAAAGTGTTTAATGCTTTGGAGGACGGCGATTGTCAATGGTGGATTTGCTTTGAAGATCTTACAAGCAGGGGTAATATGTTTTAATGGGTGGCTCAGGTTTGCAACATTTTGCAACCATTGTGTCATGGGTTCCGCGATGTTCCGCACATTTCTGCACCATCCGAGGTGCAGAAGAGAGCCGTGGATTTGTTGCACACACATGCTGTGCTCAGCACTGTGCTCTATCAGACGAGAGACCGCATCCTGCAGGTGGATGAAAAGGGGTCGCACCACGTTTGACATGCTGCGTAAGTTGTGCAGAAATTGATTTGGAGACACCCGCCATAGGAACTCAAACCCTGCAGACACTTCAAGAATCGCAGCCTAGCCATGGGCTTTTGCTTGGTCCTTTCGTTGTGGGAACTTCGCGGTCCCCACCACTGGAGAAAAGCGGCGCCCAGGAAAGAGGATGCAAGGGCGTCCTCCGCCACCCCACGTCGGCCGAAACTGGAGGAGCTACTCGGTTCAAGAAAAATGGCTGCACCAAGCCCAGAGAAAGAGTAATTCCAAGCTTTGCTTCCCAATTCAGCTGGGCGGCAGAGAAGCCCAGGCAACCATTGAGCTCACGCAGCGAACCCACAGAGCTGACGAAGAAGGCCAAGAACACCAGCAAAAAAGATGGGTTAGCGTGACCAATCTTTGCAAACCATTCCAGTGCGGTTGAGGCACTAGGCATCACTAGACACTTCAGTATAGTAGGAACAAGAAGCTACTAGGAGCAAAGGGCATCGCTACTAGGAGCAAGGACGCTACTAGGGGCTCCTGGCCGTACTACTAGGAGCAAGAACGCTACTAGGAAAAATATTATATAGGGGAAATCATTGCCTCATATTGCCTCTATCGCTGAGTCGCCCTTCTCACTGGATCCGGAAACGGCCAGGACCAGCCAAACGAGCAGCCTCGGCAGACGTCTGACCCAATCCACCACAAAGACAAGGACTGCTTTAGCATGTTTTACAAGACTGCTTTTGCATGTTCGACAGGAACACAGTTGTCAAATCGGCCACAGGTAAACATCTCCAGCACAGCTTTGGGACTGGAGAGGGCAGATAGCAGCCTTTCAGTGCCTTGGGCTGTTCAGACGCATGTGGACAAAGGACAATTCCTGGTCACCTCCTGATTTGCAATTTGCCTGAATGTTGCCTTTGCATACCAAACTATGTGAATGGTGTACCCTTCAACAAACCGCACTGCAGATGTGAATGTTGGTGACAAACAGAGATTCCAACGTCGGAGACACTAATTAAGGTCCAAGGTGAGATCCTGCACACCCAACAATCTCAATTTGTTCTTCTCATCCAAGTGTGAAAGAGTAAGTTTAGGAAGTTTTGGGTTGGTCTGATGCGTCTTCTGAAAGCCACATTGCATGAAAACGCACTCATGTGATCTCATGTGCATGTTATACTCCAACAAATGTTTGATTGCGTGCGGAATCCAAGAAGATAAAAATAGCATATAACAGCGGGGATCATATCACAACGCCGAAGGAGAGAAACAATTAGATGCACTACCGGCTTCCAAGTTTGAGATGGCTCATTGTTGAACAAAAGAAAAAGCAACTACAGTGAAGACCACCCTGGAAGCAAGCTGAAGACATCCTAGGTGCCGGACGTGAATATGGCGTCGACCACTGCACCGTCCAGCAACCAGTCAATCTCTACTGGTACGATGAGTCTCGGCATCGGCTGCTCAGTCAGATTGGACTGTAGGTGAGGCGGGTGAGGCATGGAGGCACCTGCTTCTTTCTCAGACCCTAGGCCGAGGAGACCCAGCCAAAGTCATCAAACATTTTTCAGATCATCAAGAAACACATGCTTAATAGTACTGGTACATACTTGTACAACACTCCTCAAGTGCAGCCGCACAACGAGTTCCTTTGGCCGCAAGCGGCGTGGTCGTTGGGCAGTGGGTTCACCTGGCTTCACCCGGGATCTGTTTGGGTCCGGCTTGAGCACCGTGGGCCTTGTGGCGTCGCGCCGAGGTGTGGCTCCGAATTTGGAGCCCTTCGAGCCCATCGCAGAGGTCTCGGAAGCGGAAGATCGACGAAGCTGGTCGAGATTATGTTGATTTTGATGTTTTTTTTTGACCATGAAGACTTTTAGACAACTCAAGCTCTTCTGGGACAAGGCGAATACCACTACAAATTGGAAACTCTGTGTGTGTGTTCAAAGCAATCATACAATCAAAACTTATGTGCAGCCTGTAAGTGATCCAACTTGCTCAAAATGAACAAACTAGATGCCTTTCAGATGAAGGGGCTGAAACAAATTCTAACAATACCTCCACTTTCATAGATAGAGCACAAACCAGCCAAGTCGTACTGCAAAAAGCAAACACACATGGAGTATATGTTCAAAAACTCTCAGACTTTTGGAGGCAGAGGAAGATATATAAGTCTATTAGGCCACATTCTCCGAGCAGATGCAAACGATCCTCTCAGACAGGTCATTCTTGAAAACCAAACTTGCATCCCACGAAAACCACCATTTGGAAGGAAAGGGAGGCCGAGAGTGGACTGGCTAACTGAAACGGTGAAAGACACTTTCCATTCTCTCGGACACAACCCGCCCCAAGAGCCAATCAATCTCTGAAAAGTGCCCCATCAGCCGTATACGGGCTTACACAGTAATTGCATTGAAAGGATCAATGCCTTTCCCCGAGCCTCGTGTCACCTCATACTATGTCAATGGCTTTTAGCCTGAACAAGTGAACGCTTGTTGGGCCGCGCTCCGGCAAACTCCTTGCTTGGCGCTAGGAAAATATATACATGTCTCATAGAACCCCCATTTGGACTGGAACACCTTTTCATATGGGGGGGGTTGAAGAAATGAAGTGTCTTCATTAAGGAGTCCATAGGATTTCTTTAAAGGAACACATCGAATAGGGAAGGTTGGAGAAGATTGGAGAAGAATCTGAAAGGCTTTGTATCTACGCCCCAGCCATCACTGTAGCTTCCATAGCTGACAGGCACACCAGTGGCAACTGACCGAACTCGTTCCAGCCAAAGAGGAAAGCGTGAAATGTTCAAAGTGTTTTTGTACATTCAGCTTTGAGCGGTTGTTTTGTGCTTATGGAGTTGAAGGACTTTGATTGAGGACCTGGCTGGAAGCGCATAAAGATGATGACCCCCAGCACCACGGGTCAGCCAACCCGTCAACAGCCGCCCTCAGGAACTCAGTCGACACAACGCTCTGGGTCCCACAGCCAGAATCGAATCAAAGTGCCCACGGTCAACAGCAGCTTGGTGAAGAAAAATGTTTTTTCATGTCACTCATCTCCAGCTCAATATGATACGAGAAGGCTTAGAAGCCAAGAAGGTTTGAGCGCTGGACACTTGAGCCAACTGAAGCAAAATACGACGGGATAAAAACGTCATTTGTTAAGGTCACGGAAGCCAGCCGATAGGCTAGGTTGAAATTATTTTCCGCGAACGAAGTGAGTTTAGGGCTCTAGGGGGCAGGGCCCACACCCCAGCTGAGCCAGAACCTTATAGAAATTTATTTGGCTGATGACCTTGTTTGCGCCTGTCCTCTTTTGTTGATATTCATTTGTTTCCGCAGCCCTTTTAAAACCCAACCCACAACCCATGGTAGTCATCACTTGTAGGGCCCGGGCCGAGGTTCTATTGCTTCGGCGTTGAAATAGAAGCCCAAATGCTAGGTATCACGCCACAACCCTTCGAAGCTTTCCCACAAACTTTTCATGCGCTCCACTTGTAGGGTTTGGGGTTGTGTTGTTTAATGGCTAATTCTTGATTTTCTTGTTTAATTTGTTGTAATTGCATCTGGCAGAACGCCTTTGTTCTTGGGTATGTCGGTCGTCTCATGTGGAAACTGAACACTCTCGTAGCGTGATCTTTCAAGCTTTTTGCAATATCTTTTGCTCTGCGCTTTCGCGCCCGAACTTGAGGCGTGGAATTGCTGTGACCAGTGAAACAACCTCCCCCCCAACAAACGCGCGCAATCGTGCCCAGCCAGATGAAGATGCCTAGCGGATACGTGGCTATGGCCCTGCCAGGCCCAATTCTGGGCGTCTCCGGGAATCTGTTGGCCGTGCCTGGGCCTTGGCGAGATTGTAAGCTAGCACTGCTTGCATCGCTTAGCTCAATTTTGTCGGGACGAGGCAGACTGCTCTTCAAGTGCATGGGCTCTTTATCGGGCGGGTTGCAAAGCCAAGCCCGGCTGCGCACCTGAACGGTTTTGAGCTGCGTGGTGAGCTCAGTTAAAGTATCCCAATCAAACGGAGCCAACTAGCTATCTTCCTCTTATTGTTTCCCCGTGAGCTTGCAGGCTTTGGGTGTGGCAGCTGGCGAGCAGTCGGCGGTATCACCGACTTCGACGCTCGTCGCCGCAAGCGCGGAGACGCTGCGTCGTGCCCTTGGCTGTATGTCAGTTGCGGCAAAGCCTTTTTGTTGACTTTGCTCACGCACGCGTACCTCCGCGTGAAGGAGAAATGGGAAGGACCGGCGTTGGTCCATTTCTCTAAGGCACTGCGTCAGGCAGTGCAAGACTTGGAGGCACTAAAGGCTACTCAGGGACATGAGCACGTTGTGTGTCTAGAGTTTATCTAGATCACCCCATAGAGGCTTGTCCCGAATTTTGTGTCAAGGCGGCGGGGCCCGGCAGCGAGCCAAACAACCCGGCATTGGACGAGGTGCCAGATAGGAACGCTTGGGGCTTGGTGAGTAGTAGTTTCAACTGGGTTCGTGTTTCTTTTTTGAAATGAAAACATAGAACCTTCCTTTTGAGACACATATTACAGGTATCCTGATAACTCTTGCAATGGCTACTCAGACACATGAGCGTGTTGTGTGTCTAGAGCCTATCTAGATCATCCTATAGAGGTTTGTCACTTGAAATTTGCGTCGAGGCCGCGGGATCCGGCAGCGAGCCAAACGATCCGGCGGTGGACGAGGTGCCAGATAGGAACGCTTGGGGCTTGGTGAGTAGTAGTTTCAGTTGGGTTCATGTTTCTTGTTAAAATGAAAATATAGCTCATAGCACCTTCCTTTTGACAGACATATCACAGGTATCTGATCACTCTTGCAAGTGTGTATGTATGTGTGTGTGTGTAAAATGTCACACAAGGCAGATGCCCACATCCGGGACAATGGCATGGCTTTGGAGGACTACATTAAAGCCCTTCACGAGGCTAGCCACACTTGTTCGGGGGCGCGGAGACAACAGGGTTCGCAGAATGTTTTATTGAAACGGGCCAGGCGCCCACTCACCACTTGAAAGAGTGGATGTTGGAGAATTGGGGCTTTGAACGTCGTATCCTGAGCTCAAGGACGTTCACTCTTACCCTTGTTTTTCCTTTTGCGCCTCGCCTCGCTGCAGGCTACGTTGACCCACACTCTGAGCAGGCGTGGTGGTACTTGAGCCTCGCTGTGTGGCTGTGGGAACGTGCCCTTGATGGGCGCAACGCCGCCTGATTGATGTAGAAGAGCACACTGGAAAAGAAGGAGGGCAATCAAGCTTTGATTGCCTTGCAATGTTGCACGTCTATCTGTGTAGCCATCAGGAAGCCCACCAACGTTGGCGAAGTTGATGTTGCTTGAGTGATTGTCATGTGTCACGGGCTCTGTTGCTAGAATCTGCCTGCCACTCGCGGCCCACCAAACAAAATAAAAGGACCGGATAACCCCACATGATAAGTTTTACAAATTTCAATTGTATATGAACATCACATGGGAGACGGAGTAGTGAGATGAAAAGTCAAGAACGAAGTGTGAGGAGAGAAGGTATATGAGGCGGTTGTGCTAAGACGTGTAGTATAAGTGATGATGTGATGGACGAGGATGAGAAGGAGGGGAGGGAGGAGGTGTGTGTGTGGTAAGATGGCGTGCGTGTGTGTGTGTGTGGATGTGGGTGTGTGATAAAGTGTCTGATGATGTGATGAACAAGGATGAGAGGGACGAGAGAGAGAGAGAGAGAGAGAGAGAGAAGGAGGCGGAGAGAGAAGTTTGGAGGCTCTGGATTTTGCGATCAGATCCGCATGAGACCTTCAAAACGTAACACACTCGAAACGACCATCAAAGCTATCAAGTGGTCATATCCCGACCACGGCGGGCAGTGCTAGCAGGATGTAAAGTGGAGTGAGTGAGTGGAGTGAGTGAGTGGGGTTCAGTGACTCAGTGTTGAGATTCTGCTGTGATAGGCACCCTCGCCTCGAGCCTAGTGACTACACTCAGCATTGACACACCACACCCCTACACACAGCAGTCCTCAAAAATTTTACACACAGACCTCACGCAATAAAAAAGGTGTTCAAACAGGGCCGAAATAGCCTTCGGTCTCGGTTCTGCTGCTATGGTGGAGTGCGTGGTTGTGCGCAAATTGTGGCCCCGCAGCGCCGCTGCGCAAACTGAGCTGGTCGACCGCATTGCGCCAAACGCATGGAGGCGCGTCGCGGAAATGCCAGACATTGTTCACAACCGCGGGGTGGACATGGTGCGTCTTGCAGACGTGCTCCTTCACACAAAGCATGGATGCGCGAATTTCAATGTCTGGCGGCGATTGTCCTCCTAGCGCGGCGAACACCCGAAGTAGAGCTGCTGCTTTCTTGTTGTTTGTCGATCGGTGGCCTCTACAGATGGAGCTCTCCAGCCACATGACAGGAAAGTGGCTGGTGACAGTCACGTTGCCCGAGCGCGCTGACAAAGTCAATGTGGCTGGCCAGCCAACGACATGCGCTACGCGCATGCTTGCAAGGTGATTTGCTGCAATCGAGGAATCAAAGCGTCCATTTGTTCTTGGATGGTACCTGGTTGCGTGACACGGCTGCGCCGGTTTGGGCGCGGGTCTTCGCAACACTTCCGCCAAAGAGGCGGCTGGTGAAGAAGACCAACCTTTCCAAGCTTCGCCTTGAGGGGCAACTGCGCAAGTTGAGAGGTGGCCGGGCCGACTGCCCAAATCATCTCTTGCCAATCTTTTTCTTTTTGTTGGAAGTGTCTTCCTGAGGCTCCAGGAACAAAGGGCAACCAAGATCCACTTGCCTCTTGTTCACATACACAGGAATGTGCAAATTGTCGTGCTTGACCAGCTGCTTCTGCATGACACACTCAACATCCTGAGGGTTGCCCTCCTTGAGAAACCAATATGGAACAAACATGCCAGTTCCCTTGGTGAAGCGTACTCCATAACAGCTAAGCCTACAGGAGTAATCGCCATGTGCACACTTGATCCAATGGAGGGTGCAGACGTACGATAGCAGGCTTTCAGTGGTCATGCAGTGCCCTGGTGAAACCTGCCGGCGGTGCCGTCTGTACTCTATATACAAGGCTGGCAGGGTAGTTTGCGGGAGACTGATGTGTAACAGTTTGAGGCAACTTTCGAAGACGTACGGAGCAAGGGTTGCGCCGGGCGCCAGTACATTCGCACCGTCCTCCCTTGCACCAACACATTCCAGGGCACAGCAGTCAGCAAAGGTTCGCGCACCAAAGTCAGTACAGCCTGGTGCCAAAAAGGTAGATTGGGTCTTGATATTTCACCTGATTAATATTTTAGATATTATCAGGACCAATTACGAAAGAATTGAATTGTTTTTTTGAAAGATTTATCGAAGGTTATTATTTATTACATTATTTATCGGATTTATATAAAATAGAAATGCAAGGCAATTCTCCGGCAGAATTTGTTAGCGGAAAGATTTTAATATATTATAGATTAATGAATTGAAACCTTAATATTTTCGTGCTTAGGCTTGATAACAAGGCGGCCCCTGAATGACCATCCCGCGGAACTCGCGTCGACTGTTGATTCTCCTCCGTCTCCCCCACGACAAAAAAGGAACAGGTGGACGCCTCAGCTATCTGCAAAAGACCAGCAGTGCACTGTCTCCGACAGGGGTTGATCCGAACTCCAGTGCAGTAAACCACGTTAAGCTGCTGGTGTTTATGGATGCCAAAAATGTGTTTTTTTTGGTGGGTTGGTGATGCAGAAGATGCAAGGTGAATGGGTTAGTGCATCATTTGCCTGCATCACAAACCTGCTGGTGAGGACACTATCTAGTTCATTGTGTTGAATGAAAGCTGGAGGGCCATTAATGAGGACTTTGAAGAATGATCGAACCAGTTCATGAATGATGATGAAGGCAGGAAGGAAGGAAGGAATGAATGAATGAATGAACCAATGAACGAACGAACGATTCAGTTTATTTTGTATTGAATGTTGCCTTTGAGGGCCTTTTGCGGCGACAGGTGGGAGTGGCAACAGAGCAAGTGCAGCCTCCGACATAGTTTGGATATTCCAATGCCAGGCAAGCACAAAAGTTACGAACTGCATCTCTTCTACGTTCCTAGTTTCAGGCGATTCGGAGTGCGTAGTCATGATGACTGAAGCTTGTCCTGTACATGGAATGGAATGGAACACATCACACAAACATCAGGACCGCTATAGGAAGACTAATTGTTATTATAAGACGTTTGACAAGAATTTTGGTCCGCCTCACCAACACTAGCTTCCAAAGGATTAATTTTTAGAGTCTGGGGTAACCTTTCCAAGACTCACAGCTCTTCGTTGGATCGCGAATGCGACTCCCAACGCCGGTTTGTAGCTTGTGAATGCTTGTGAGACATCATCAAGCAAACAGCGAATCAGTTTCTCGGGACGGGACCTGGGAATTCGCATTGATCCACCTGCCTGCTAGCTCCGATAATAAGAACATCGCCGTATGTGGGCTATTTGGGTGGACGCTCTACACTTCTACTGGCTTTCGTTTCCCCCTTCTCAGGTTGTCCTTTGCCATCCTTTGTTGGTGAAGATGAGTGGCCTGAGTTTCCTTCGGAGTGAGAGGCAAAGACCCCTCGTCTTTTTCCAGGCTTTTGCGATACAGAGGGTTCCCGGGCTACCTGAACAACATTGAACAACCATGGCCTTCGCATTCTTTTCACCAAGGTCAGTCCTGCTTGGGAAATGAGAGTGTCCAAATTCCAATCCAAGGCCTGGGCAGCTCTAGGGCGTGTGACCTCGATTTGCAGAGCAGTGAAAGCCTACGCTTCCAAGATCAGCCGGGGCACTCAGGGATTGGAGACCTGAAGGAGGATAAATTATGTTTGAAGCTGGGAGAACGAGCAGGAGCCATAGCCGGTTGCTTAAGTCTCTTTTTGCATGTGCCCTGCAACACGGATAGCTGACCCGCGGCAGTGTGCAAGTGGAAGGTCTCGCGAAATATCTTGCGGTCGGATGTTCGCACCTGAAAGCCTTATAAGTACTCCATTTAAGTGTGCGGACACAGAAAACATGTTTACATCCTTCACGCAAGCAGTGTGCAAATTTTCAGATCCAACTCAATCATGTGAAACACGTTTGAACCATTCCCGAGATATGAGTTTTTGGGTGCAACACACTCACCATATAGGCCAGGCCATTTGGTGATTGCCACTGTTCTGGTCTGGGAATTTTGTGTGTTTGTGGTCAAAAAGAGAACTAGCTGCTGGAGCTGTCAAGATTGGCAGCTGGGCCTGGTTCAGCACTTACCTGCCGCGATCAACGTGGTGTAGCGCGCTTTTGTCGCACAAATGGAATGCTCGCGATTGAATTGGATTGGATGGTGGATGTAGATAGTGTAATGTATTCCCGGCCCCTTTGGGACCAATCATTCGGCTCAGGATGGTTTGGCTCTATGGAAGCAGCCCTGGCTCCTCGAATTCTTTGCTTCAGCCGCCCCATGACAGTGGCTCCGCGGCAAGAGATCTTGATGGCCTTGACCCATGATGGGCTGACACAAAGAGTGCCCTTGTACCCACCCCACCCGGAAAACGAAACATCAATGTGGTTGCCGTTGTCATTTGTTCTAGATTCTAGATTTTCTGGAATGTGTTTGCTTGCAGATCCTGGAGCTACAGTCGCACATCAATTGGCCTGGTCCAAAGCAGGTAGACAGGTTAGTCCAAATAACGAGACTTTATAGTATTTTACTGTATGTGTATAAATAATAAAAATATATGCTCACATACGCCATTATACACCGAGGCACTCGTTCGGCTTTTCTGCCAAACTTCAATTTCGCCCGCTTTCACACAAAAAACGTCCAAAAGGCAGGCAAGCACTCCACCGACCCGCATGTTTCCCTGAGCGGTCCCGCTTCGCAGGTCACGCTGGAGGCAAGCGGAGTATCGGAACGGCGCCTTGGTTGTGGAGCAACGGGTGGCAGCCAGGGAGCGTCAACGTCCGAGCTGGTCAAGAAGTTGGTTTCAATAAGCGGTGCTCCGCCCCTTCTTAATTCCGGATGGTTCTTTCCAGTGATCACGCTTCAATAATCACTTGTGCAACTACCAGCAACTACCAGCCTTGTGCAAAGAGGCCTGCAAACGACAACATGCAGGCATCAACATAAGCGGCTTTCAAAACATGTAGCTTGTTCAAGAGCACCACGTCTTTTGGGGGAGGAGTGTGTTTTCCATTTTTCCATCTTCCCTTCCACTGTTTTTACCTGCGTTTCTATAAGCGTGCAGGTCAACAGTCTGGCGAGCTCGGAGGCCCTCAACGTCGGCGACGTGGGGCGCTTCCGGAGGACCGGGGCGGAGCGGAGGAAGAGTGCATGGCTGGGAGGGAATGGTGGATGACGGATGACGGTGCTACTAGTAGCGATGCCCTTGTTACTAGTAGCGGCGATGCCCTTGTTACT